TCAAGATGTCCTGGAGGTTCCTAAGCCTCTTCTCATTTTTTTGAATTCTTGTTTCTTCATTCTTTTCTGTTTGCTTGTTTCTTTCTTCCTTCTGGTCCCCTCCATTGATTTGAGTCCCAGCTTTCTTCCCATCACTATTGGTTCCCTGTATATTTTTCTTCATTTCACTTATTGTAGCCTTCATTTGTTCATCTAATTTGTGACCAAAATCAACCAATTCTGTGAGCATCCCGATCACCAGTGCTTTGAACTGTGCATCTAATAGGTTGGCTATCTCTTGTTTGCTTAAAAGTACTGGCCGAAGAGCTTTCAATTCTGTTTGAACCATCTCCCCCTCTCCCCCTTTGGTCTGGTTGCTCCTGTTATGTATGAGGGGGGGAGCCTCAGGTGCTCACCAGGGCGGGGCAACCCAGTGTCTGGGTTGTGAAGTTGTATGTGGGGGCGGAGTCCGAGAGGGAACGATGGCACCTGATCCGCTCTCTCTAGGACTTCAGTTTCCTCTGCTGCTTCCTACAAGCAGTTTGGGCCCTTCTGGTGCTGGTTCCCGGTGAGTGGGCTTGTGTACTTTCTAGGACTCTGTAGGTCTCCCCAAGGAGCCTCCTGTGAGGCTGGGAGATTCTCCCGGCACCTCAATCCCCACAGGTGTTTTCAGTCAGTGCTTTTAGGCTTTGTTTCCTGGCGCTGGGTCCCTGGGTTGCGAGGTCTGTGTTGCTGCCTGTTTTCACCTGGTTTGTCTGCGCTTGAATGTGTGACTGCAGACAGCCAGCTGCCTTGCATGCCTCACTGGGTCTGCTCATTGCCTTCCGCATCCAGGGTCTGCCACCGGGTCTGTCAGCTGCCCCTGTGCTTCTGGGGTCTGCCAACTGCCACCTGCCGCCTGTGCCCTGCACACCCACATCTGCCAGCCACTGCTTTTTCCCAGGGCCCCTTGACCCCTCTCTGTAGGCCTCCGACTCCACCCCTCCTTACCAGTCTGGATGAATGGTTGTCAGACTTCCATTAAGTTCATTTCTCTCTGTTCTGGTTGTTTTTTTTTTTTGTTTCTAAATTTTTGTTGTCCTTAGTTTTGGTTGTACGAGGAGGCACAGTGCATGTACCTATGCCTCCATCTTGGCTGGAAGTCCCCCACTATTTTCTTTTTAAATAGTTCCATCGATCATTTGTTGCTTTCAGTTTTATGTATAGCATATGAGTGAAATTGTATAGTTCTAAACTTTTTCTGTCTGGCTTATTTCACTTAGCATGATAGTCCAAGGTGGCAGTCCAGATGGCGGTGTTTCACCTTCTCTTATGGCTGAGCAGAGTGCCATTGTATGTATGCACTACATCTTCTCTATCCAGGCATCTGTCAGAGGACACTGTGGTTGTTTCCATGTCTTGGCCATAGTGAATAAGTGCTGCAATGAACACAGCAGTGTATATATATTTGTAAATAAATGTTTTCAATTTTGGGGGGTAGATACAGAAGAAAGTCAAACAAACAAAAACAGAAATGGTATGGTGGTTACCAGAGGGAAGGGGGTGGGGAGAGTAAAAAGGAAAGGGGGTGGAATATATGGTGATGGAAGAAGACTTGACTTTGGATGGTGGACATACAATGCAATGTATAGATGATGTGTCCTATGATACATTATACACCTGAGACCTATACAGTTTTATTAATTAATGTCACTCCAATAAATTTAATTTAAAAAAATCAGGTAAAAATATTTAAAAAAATTGGAAATAAAACATTGGATTCCTATGACTTATCAGGTAATAGGCAGACTTCTTTGGAGACCCTTGGTGAACCAGTCCCAGCCAATCTGTCTGTACATTAGAATCAATTTCAAAATAAAGGGTGCTACTTAGACCCTATATCAGGCCAAGTAAGCCAATTAAATAAGAGTATCTGGGCATAGAACCATGGGGTTAGTGAAATAAAACAAACCAAAACCTCCTTAGGTGATTCTGATGCTCAGTCAGTGCTGTGACTGACTCGGGCCTAACTTATCGCTCATTGGTTCTCCTAAGGTGTATGTGGAGCAATTGAAGGGCTAATGAAATTAGATTGCTCAGTTCTACCAATAGAGTTTCTGATTCAGTAGGTTTGGGATGGGCTCCTACGATGAACCTTTCTGTCAGGTCCCAGGTGATGCTGATGCTGCTGGTCTGGAGACCACTCTTTGAGAACCAGATTAAAGAATGGTTGAAACTTGGCTGTGCTTTAAACTTATCTGAGGCCCACATTCCAGAGCACTAGCTTCTACTGATTAAACATACCTAATAATATCACACTGTCTAAGCTAAATTATTTAAAATAAATGACAGACATCATAAGAAGACTATGAGATCTTAAGAAGACTTCTTAACCTATGTCTCAGGATGTTGACTTAATACTGTTATTGTTATTTAATATGTAAAGAAGTGAATTATGAAAGTCTGCCATCACCTCTTAGATGTCATATTTCCTTTGTAGAAATATTTGATGGATCAGAGTAAATGTGTGCTATTTTATTTTAAAGAACTTATTGGACAAAGGCTGAGGAAGAAGAGATATTTGGGAAAAGGAGGAGAATCAAAGAAGACTCAAAAGAGAATGAGAGAAGGAAAAAGAGAAGCAAGAGCAAAAATATACTTTTCACAAAACAAAATATGAAGGGTTTGGGATTGAAGACCAAGTGAAGATTAAGAGGTAAAGATTAAGAAGATAAATTATCTTTAATTGTACTTTATAGAGTAAGTATTCTTTCTCCTTGTACAAATTGGCAGGTACCAAATTCAATATTCAATATTCTTTATAGAGTAAGTATTCTTTCTCCCTGTACAAATTGGCAGGTACTGAATTCAATATTCAATATTCTTAGTCTAAAGCTTTTTATTAATTGGATTTTAGTTTAATTTTCAGAATAATAAATATGTTCACATGTCTCAGTAGTTAAATAATTTAAAATGGTATTTAGGAAATAATATTCTTCTCATTGTCGAAAACTTCTGCTTACTTTTCCCTGTTCCTAAAGGTAAGTAAACACTTTTTAAAAAATATTTTATTTTATTTATTTTTAGAGAGGGAAGGGAGGGAGAAAGAGAGAGAGAGAGAAACATCAATGTGGGGTTGCTGGGGGTCATGGCCTGCAACCCAGGCATGTACCCTGACTAGGAATCGAACCTGTGACACTTTGGTTCGCAGCCTACGCTCAATCCACTGAGCTATGCCAGCCAGGCAAGTAAACACTTTTCAGTAGCTTTTTTTTTTCCTGGTAGGTATTCTTCCAGTCCCACTTTATGTAAATATAAAACACATGGACACCTTATTTCTGCCTTTACCCCTTTATTGCATAAAAGAGTCCATAATTTGTACCCTGTTATGTGCTCTACAGTTTTCTCATAACATAATCTTGGATATATTTCTGTATTGGTATATAGTATGCTTTCTCATTCTGTTTCAATGACATATTTTGCTATTGTTTAGATGTTTCCTAATACTGTATCTTGAATTTTTGCCACCCCTTTGATAGAGTAAATTGTTATACTGTAATCTGAGCAATAAATTTTGATTTATCAGTTGGATCTAAATAAATTTAAGTCATTTATTCTTCCAAGGTAGATTCAAGTATTCTACTTTTTTCTCTTTGAATTTCTATCATAACCACCAAACTTCCCTGAGGCAAATGGGTGCCTCTGACCAGCTGGCCCGAAGTGGGGAAAGTTGAATTTGATGACAAGCCACATATAAGCAAATGCAAAAGATGATTATATTTTAAAATAAAATACAAATAAAATATAAAATTTTTGATAAACTGATCCCCACACATCTCTGTCTTATTCCCTGTCTTGCCTCCATGTACTTTTATAGGAAGAATTCCAATAAATTCAAAAAATTAGATTTTGTCAAAACATATCACTCTTTATAATCCTACCTAATTTTAGTTATAAAATTCCCATGCCACCAGATTGGTGGCACACCCATTTTTAATTATAATTAGGCCCCTTCCCCAGGGTCATATCAGAATTTGAATGTGGTACCTCAAAACTTGAGGTCATTTTATCTCTGGTTCATTGTGGTAATAAATAGTTGTAGTACTTATCACATAATATATTGTAATGATCCATTACTTTTTTTTTTTTTTTACTTTGCAGTGAGTTTCTGTAAGGCAGGATTCCTACATTGTTCAATTTTGTATCATAGCATGAAACATAAATGCTTTGGGAATAAATCTTGGTTCAGGAGATACAACTAATGATTTGCAACAACTACACCCTTTGCAGTCATGATTTCCATATGAACACAGAAAAAAGGAACAGAATTTATTATAATCCTTTGGCTTGTTCCCTTTAGCCTTACCCCTAATTTCTTTCTTATTTTGTGTTCTGGATTGATGCTTAATTGACACCAATTATGTTTATCCAGCTCTGAGACATGTTTTATCAGAAAAAAGATGCTCCAGTGTAATGCTACTCTTTGGGCTTTGAATACCATATATTTCTTCTAAGAAAACTCTCTTCTACATGTATCACCCCTTCAACATTTTCAATCTATCATCCTTTATTGAATCTGAAACCCAAGGTGAACTGACTGATTCTATATATTAGTCAATGGTAGCTTTGGTTCTAACTGAGGACACATAATTCCCAATTCAGATCTTGTCCCAGTTAATTATGCTGTGTCCCAATGTAACCAATTCAATTTTGTATTTCATTACTTCCCTTCAGTGTGGAAAATCTTTTCTAGTTAGGTCAGTCATTAATTTTCTTATAAAATCCACTCTTTGACTTTTTCCTAGGGTATTCCCTTAACCAAACACATTTTACACTCTTTTAGTGCACAATTTCATCTTTTCTTCTTTTCCCTACAGCTCCTACATGAAGCCCAGTCAGAGCAACCTCACTGTAACACTTTCAGTCCTGAAGCCTCTTGGCCTTTGAGTGCTGTGAAACTCTCTTTCAGGATTTTATTTCATGAACTTTATTTCACATGGAAATGTTATAAGTGTTTAATTGAGAGGCTGTGGATACAGTGATAGAGATGGACTAGAAAAGGTTTATTCTTTAAGACTTTGGAGATACAAAAACTATTTTCTTCCATGGAAACCCGAGTTTGTGGATCAGGGGCTCCAGCACATCAGTTTCCATTGATGTAGTCTTCAAGCATTTCCTTTATCTGTGATAGCGGGAAGAATAGAAAATTAAGAGGGACTTGGTTTCCTGAGCAGTGATGACTCCTTCTCTTAGATCTGGGTAGTACAGTGCGCCTACAGAAACCAATCAGTGTAGCGGGAAACAAGATCCATTACTTATGATCATCAAATGAGCAATCTTGTGAACTATCTGAGGGTTGATGGTCAGTCGCCCTCTGCAAACAAATGCATTTTTATATAATAAGTTGCATTATGAGCAATATCGTGCCTATGAAGAATATTGAGCCAGAATTTTATGGAGGAGGTTTGAGGGACAAGACAAAGGTGTTCTGACTGCATTTGGGAGGAGTATGAATTGCTTACCTTTGCTGCAAGGAGCATTGTACTCAGCAATTGCAAATTCACCTGAATAAAAAGAAAATCATTAGGTGAAGTAATAGGGCTAGCAAACATTTGTCGGATACAGGGCAGTGATAGGATATTATGAGAAAAATTGTATTGTGTTAGAAACAGCATCATTCATTCAGTATATTGCTGGCTGCCTTATATTGTTAACTTTTCAAATATAGTTGTGTTATATTTCTCTTTACCCTATACTTCTGAAGAACAGTTCAGTGTTGTACTTATTTAAATCTAATATTGTTGTATAGTTGATTTAGTTTAGAAAAGGGCACTAAATATTCTATAGGTATTTTGTATTAGTTGATATATTTATACTATAGGCAGTTTCTACAATGTATGGAGAGAGGACAAAGAGAGGAGAATCAGACTTGATAGAAACAAAATGAAGCTATGAGACCTGTTAATACAATAACTTGCCCCTACAGATTTACGAAATCTAAATTTTTGTGATCAGGATTTGATTTCCATGTGAAAGTTGCTCACACTCACCTGTCTCATAGTAATCATAGACTTTCACTATGGCTGGTTTCAGATCTCTTACTGGGATATCTTGCAGAACTGTGAAGGACAAACTCAGTGTCCGATTTGTCACCTAGAAAGCAAAAGGGAATTAAATGAGCTTTCTTTTCTCTTCTTTGAATGAGTTTAAGTATTCATTTGCTTTTTGAGGAAAAAAACTTTTTACAAATCAACTAGCAGGGTCTTGAAAATGTTCAGAAAGCTCCCAGAGTAAAAGAACCCCCCTAAAATTGCTTCTTAAATAACTAAAACAATTCATATATTTCCATCAAAGCAAGTATATGACTTTGTTCATAGAGGGTGAATGACATATGATTTTTATTGGTTGAATAGCTATGTTCATTTTTGAATCTCCAGAGATTTGGTATAGTTTCATTTATCTTGTAGAAATTCTTGTGTTGAATCAAAAAGGAATATAAAAGGTCAGTCATTGTAGCCTCGTTTAAGTTTTGTAAAGTTGTAAACTATAATATATTCATCAATCCCTAAATGGATAAACTACACTATAGCACATAACTATAAAATTACATCACTTTAATGGTAGACTGGTCTTATTATTTTATGACCTAAGTCCTTGTTGAGAATGACAATATTTTCCCCTTTTATATTATTGATGTGTTATTGATATAATAATTGACTAATCCCATGTTACTTTCTTACATTACTCATTGTCTTCAAGATAACTTGGGGACATAGTGAGCACATTTTGTGGAGAATTTCTTGCTGGTGGGGTCCTAGAAATATTCATATCCCAATATTATAGTAAGCCATTTCTTTATATAATCCTAAGTGAAACATATATAAAGAAGGATAGGGGAACATTTATGGGAATCAATACTAGAATTCTCAAATATTTAGCATGGAAGTAATGTCTCCAAAATGCCTTTCTTCACTTCTCAGATACCCTCCTTAGAGGGATTATTATCTATGGTGTTTTCAACTAGAGTGACAGGGCTCTCACCTTATCCAGGTAAATCAGAACGTGGTTGCTGCTGACTTCTGTTCGGCTCACATCATTAGAGTTTTGAAGCTGAAGAAAAATAAGACATTACAAATGGTGATAAACAGAAGAAAGCCCTGGGGAAACCCAGAGGAAAGAAGAACTTTCATTACCAAATTAAACCTGAGCATAACGTTTATTCCAGTATTTTTTGTAACTAAAGGCAATAATGTGGTAAAACGAAAAGTAAAAGGTAATTGGGATGCAGGGTTTAATATTACTAAAAATCAGTTTGCCATGGCCTATGTGTAGGGTTGATTTATTTGAAGAAAAGAGAAATATTGTAAACTTGGGGGTTACCTATATTTCAAGGTTTAATTCACATTTTATTCCTTAATAAAGGAGATTTTTTTTCTTTTTGCTTGCTCAAACTTAAAGCAATGTCATTTTGTTTGCACTTTTGTAATACAGTTTATATCAATCTGTCATTTTCATATTTTTTCACTGGTTCATTTGTAGATGCTTTACTTTCAAGATTATGAAAGTAGGAACGTGCTGACATTTTCTTCTAGTAGGTGTGGCTTCTAGGAGTGTGTTATGCACATGGTGGGCACCAATGAAACCATCTGAGTTATATTTCTTCATTTGGAGAAAGTACCAGTCTTTCTCAGAGGCTGACTCAATAGGATTATAATATTTACATTGTCTTAGTCTGGAGATATATAAAACAGTAAATAAAATAGGCAATCCTGGGCTTGTAATAAACGTACCATTTTCACTGTTGGTTTCAGGGGAATGAAGCCAGATACCATCTTCACATCAACAATTGCCATGTTGGAGACAGGACGTGCCCCATTGTAACTGAAGATCCAGGGAAAAAGGGAAGAATTGGAGTTTTGTTATTAAATAGTCTTTAAAATTTTTTTCTACAGTAAGCACTCAGCAGCCCTGAAAGGTACATGGGAATTTTCCTAAGTATCCTACCCAAGTGGTTCAGAAAACTGGCTCTGCCTTAGAATCTCCAGGGACCCTGTTAAAGCCACAGAGAGCAGGCCTACTTTAGACCCAATGAATTAGAATTTCACATGCGTGGATCTGCAGATGTGCATTTCAAGAAAGCTCTACAAATGATGCATAACTTGCATGAGACCTCTACTCTATGTCAGTTTTTTGTTACATATACATTATTTTAACTTGTTTACTGAATACTGTCTCCAATCAGGTTATGATATTCTTGGGAACAGATACGTTTTTTTTGTCCATTGAGGCATTTTATTTCCATGTATGTATTATATCCCTAGAAAAAGAATCCCAGGGTTTTCCTGCCTGGGTGTATTCGTCTTGCTTCTTCATGGTCCATGATGCCCACTGAGGCTGTCAGTATAATGAAACCAAACTGACGGGATGGAAGCAGGTTGTTCTGCTATTTTTCTAGATCTTTGAGTTGCACATCAAATCTGGGGCTGATTACTCCACACTTGTTTAACCTGCCTGTGAGGTTCACAACAATTTTTCCAGCTCTGTGGTCATCAATAATTTTAAATTCGTCAGGGTATCCATGCTTCATCATCACAGTTAGAAACCAGACAATGACCTTGGAGTACAGCCTGGTAAGAACCTGGCGTTTGCCTCTCTTTTCAGCATTGTTGATACTCAGAGAATATCAGCCAGGACATTCATGCACACCACTATGGTGGCATGAAAAGATAGCAGAAAGATAGACATATTTTTTTGTAAGTTCTGTAGCTATTTGAATATTGTTGTATAATATGTATTTTTTCCTAAGCTGATTTTTTGGGTATATAATCTGATATTTAATTATTGCCAGTAGAAATTCTAACTAGAGAGTCATGACTAGCTTTCTATTCATGTGTGTCAAGAATTTCTCATCTTGCTTTTCTTCCCTGGCTGCTTGAAGACTGGCCACCATTGTGAAGAACACAGTATCCAGACCAACACATTACTTCAGCGGAAACAAACAGCCACTGACATCTGCTCCCTGGGAAGGCAACAATACCTAAGACAAAAATTTGGGAAAAACCAGCCAACTTGTGTAAGACCACACCAGATGTCACCTTTAGTGTTTGGACTCAGAACCCATTTGGGTGGCAGCAAGACAACTGGCTTTGGCGTGATTTATGATTCCTTGGATTGCACAAAGGAAAATGAACCCAAACATAGACCTGTAAGACATGACCTGCATGAGAAGAAGACCTCATGAAACAGAGAAAGGAATGCAAGAACAAGATGAAGAAAGTCAGGGGGACTGCCAAGGCCAATGTTGCTGCTGGCAAAAATGGGCTAGAGATTGGACAACAGAAGGAGTAAGAGTCTTCAGTGATTTGATCTATGTTGATTATTGTACAGAGTTTTCGTGAGAGGATTCATAAACTAAGAACTTTAAAAAAATGAAAAAAAAATCCTCATCCCTGTTCTGGATAGGGCAAGAGTAATGTAGTATTTCATTATAGTAGAGTAAAATTAGGATGAATCATTTCATTATACTAAAATAAGAAATTCAGGTCAAAGGCAAGGGGTATGTTATTTTTTCAGTTATTATTGAGGGAAATTGATAACCTTTAAATAGTTAGGTGTGACAATAATAGATTCTGGATGTAGAATATAAACCTCATCACAGAAATCCTGTATCAATGTGAGAACACATCACTTTTTTTTTGATAAATGTAGTGCAAACATTTGCCACCTCACTGCTCTGCTTAGTGAGGAGGTCCAGTAAGAAGACTGGTTGTTATACTCAGAATTAAGTGATTCAGTAAGCCAGTCTTACCTGACATTCAGTGAGATCTGGAAGCTGGTGTGGGCTTGACTTCCATCACAAGTTTGGGGCAGAGTCTGCACCTCCAAAGCAAATGGGAATTCTTGCCTTTCTGGGAGAATATTGTATTTCAAGGATGTCTGTGGAAGATCAAAGACAAAAATCTTGTTTCTCCCTTCCCTAGTATTTTTCACAAATTCCTTAGCTCTTTTTGGTTTGTTCCATCATTTCCTGAATTAGGACTTTTCAGTGAGAATGGTTATTTTTTTAAAGATTTTATTTATTTATTTTTAGAGAGAGGGGAAGGGCAAGAGAGAGAAAAGGGGAGAAACACTGATGATATATGAGAGGAACACCACGTGGTTGCCTCTCACATGCTCCCCACTTGTGACCTGGCCCACAACCCAGGCATGTGCCCCGACCAGGAATCGAACTGGCAACCTTTCATTTGCAAGCTGGTGCTGAATCCACTGAGCCACACCAGCCAGGGTAAGAATGGTTACTGTTGACCATCTGCCCCCATCTGCTCCAAGAGTCTCACCTGCAGGTAGACACACCCTTCTCCTGTCGCTGTCATGCTGTATTCTTCAGGTATCTTTGGCAATGAGATCTGCTGTAGTAGCAAGCGGTTGTTGTTGTTTACTTGGAAATCTGTGGAAAATGTCCCTGAAGATCGGATGGTTACTTTTACAGCCTTCCCAGTACTGGTAAAAGTGGCTGCTCCATATTTAGACAAAGCATGGAGAGCCACCACTGTGTCCTGAGAGAGACAAGTGAGAGGACCACTTAAGTATGATAAAGCTTTGAGGCCTCAGAGTCCCATGTTAGCGGCCACAAAGGGGCCGCCCTTTCTGATTTCCTGTTTTGTATTTTCCTCACTTCTTAAATATTGGAGTCCTAATTTCAATATTGGTTATAATCCTTAAATAGATGACAGCACCATAACATTCACATATCTGCCTTGGACTACAGCTTGTTTTATTTTCCAGAAAGTTGATCCTTTTCTCTGTATAAATATACATGGGATATAAATATAGAAGGTATATGTGAATGGGAATCGTTTATTGGCATTAGCTCTTTGCCTGATATGTATATATATTTTTTGGTGAATAATGATTTTTCTTCATCAAAGAGTTTTTTTGTGTTAGAAATATTATAAAGCTGAGTCATAACTATGTATTTTTCTTTTGGATGATTCCTAAGTATTAATTACCTTGCATATTAAAAATCTAGATTATCTGTATAATATAATTTTCTTTTCACTTTCAATATACATATTGAGAAAAAGAATGAAAACAAGTTCAGTTGTCACTCTGAAAGCGCTTGAACACTGCACAGCTGTGGTCGTAAATGCCACCACCCAACCAAAGGTCAGCCGGGCTCTCACCCTCAAATTAAATTCTGCTCTGCTGTGGAGGTCAGTGCCCTGAAAGAGCCCAGTGTTTTTTGCAGCCATGATCAAGGTCATGTTTTAGTTTCCCCAAAGAAAATAATAATTAACAGTAATTATAATGATCTCCTTGGTATGTTGATATTTTTATTTGGCTTTTCCTTTTTTACTGGAAGTTTGAATTCTCCTATTCATGCTCCTACTTTCAATTCTCATCAACACTGAAGGTGTATGACATCCTTTAAATAACATATTTATAAGAAGTGAATACTAACTGTTCTAACAACATTATTTAGTTTTTTTTTCCATTCATGTGGAGAAATAAAACATCAAATACAATGAGGAAAGGATGGAATGCCATTTTTCCATAGGTATATAGGCTAACATCTAAATTCCCTGAAGATAAATTCCACAAATTGATGAATTTTTTAGGTATAAAATTCATACCTAAAGTTAGGCTCAGGAGGTTGGATGAACAGATACTTCTTTATGCTTTCATGAATAAGTAGACAGAAGAAGCATGAAATGTATCTGTTATAGAAGAAACCAGTTAAAGGAGACCTAAGAATGAAGGAATTTTCAGGGAGAGATTATTTGGTTTTGAGTAGTACTCCTGGGAATATTTTGAAAGAACCTCTTATAACTTCCAAAATATTGATAGATTTTTAAAGTCATTCTGCTATGGCACAAAGAGGTGCCCTGTCATTGCTTTAGGGAGGCAGAGTTGTTACTGGAAAGAAGACACTGTGATAATAACACAGGAACATGAACAGAATTTTTGGCATTTTCTTTGTAGCTCTCTCTGACTTTTATTTTTATTTATTTCTCATTATCCCTGAATTCTAATAATATTTTCCTCATTTCAAGTTATTCTCACCTTTATGTTTTATTCTTGGGTATGTTTTTATCTTGTTCAAACCTTCTTATACCTAAAGGTGAAGTAAGAAGTTCTGGGAAACTGTTGTACAAACCTGGGTAGAGGAGAAGCCCCCTTGAGAATTCTGTTGCTTTGTGATCCATTTCACAATGTGTGATGCAGAAGTCAGCTCCTCTGAGGTTGGAGCAGGGTTGGCCGTGAGGTGAGCGAGGAGCACGTAGGATGTCATCTCTACCTCAGCGGAGGGAGCCTGGAGTTCATTAAAATACTCCAGTGGTGCCTGGGGATTCTGAGGTCGTGTCCAGTAAACAGAATTATCTGGGGGTGAGAAAAATACATTTGTAAGTGACTACATATTCACATTTAATTTAAGGTGAAAGTACCTAAGCCAGAGCTGAAATGAGGGCTGCATTCCTATGATACCCTATTGAACCTTATCTCAATGATTTTCTTCTCTGTAAACCTGAACATGGCTTGTTTTAGCCAGGTTTAGGTAGAAAATGTTGCTGGAATCAGAAGCCCATAGCCATTTAAGTTTTCAAATGTATGCTACTTCTGGTGACAGAGCAAAAGAGCAGAGAGCAAGTTCTCTCACTGGTGGTCATACTTTCTTATTTCTGACATTTCCCAGACTTAATCTGAGGTTTGTTAAGTTTTTTATAAAACCTACCTTTGCAGGGGTGTCCAACCTGGGCTACATGCACCCCAGGATGGTAATGAATGTGACCAGACACAAAATCGTAAGTTTATTTTAAACCTTTTGTTTTTGCTCTCCAGTTTTTGTTAGTGTTTGTGTATTTAATGTATGGCCCAAGACAACTCTTCTTCCAGTGTGGCCCATACATGCCAAAAGGTTGGACACCCCTGTTAGAGGCTTCTTGTGAAGATTATAGATCACTTGAGATAATGGAGTTCATGTTCATTAGGTTGGAAAAAAATGGAGTGATCCTTAAAATACCAAATATTGACAAGGGTGTGAAATAATGGGAACCTATTTAACTGCTGTGGGAAATAAACTGCTCTTTGGAAGGCAATATGGCAATATCCAGCAGAAGGGAAGATGTGCTTAGCCTACTATTCAGCAATTAGGCTTCTCGAAGTATGACTTTGAGAAACTCACACATATGCACAAGGAAACATGTATGTATTCACTGAAGCATGCCTTGTTATAGCAACAAATAAGAAATGATATCCACAAGGAGAGACTCTTCATATAAATTATGACCTTTTATATATGGTAATATATTATGTGGCAGAGAAAATTAATTAACTAGAAGCACAAGCACCCATGTAGGGGACTTCTGGTGGCATAATGCTGAACTTCAGAAAATAAAAGACAAACAAACAGATAAGAAGACAAGATGCAGAAATACTCAAAAGTATGATGCTGCTTTATCTAAAGATTAAAAATGTAAGAAACTGGAATATTATTTAGGGATACTTATGCAGTAAAAATATTAAAGAACTCAACAGAAATTGTGATGACAAATTCAGGATACTGATTCCCTTTGGGAGTGGGAGTGGTACACAGGGAATTTTTCCTACAATGGTAATATTTTATTTCTTAGGAAGAAAGGTATAAAGATGTTTTCTAATTATTATTTATACATTTTTATGTATCTGAAATATTTTCCAGTGAAGTTTTAAGAATAAATTATTAACGACACTGTCAAGGGAGAAAGGCAGAGTGTTTCATTGGATCTCTTTTTATCGTTTGCATTTTATTTCTCTTTTTCTTGGACCCCTGCCTTCCACATAGACTATTGTTTACATAGAAGTATTGTGTAGATATGAAAAGATTTGTCAACATCGCCTGTCTTATAAAATGAGCATAAAATACTAGAGTTTTTTCATGGGGTTACTTTCTTCAACCCTTTCTTATATTTAAGATGATGTGATATATCAGATAAGGGTTCTATATATAGTAAGAACTGATATCTTAATCATAGTAGCTCACACTTTTATAGCACTTACTATGTGCCATATACTCTAGCCACTGCCTTACACGTATTCTCTCATTTAACTCTGACAACAACCCTATGAGGTATTATCCCCATTTTACTGATGAAGGAACTGAAACACAGATAAGTGAAATGACTAGCTCAAGGTCACATAGGCAATATGTTTTGGAGCTGGTTTTCTGAGGCCAACCTTCTCACTACTGCAGCATACTGCCTCTTATCTTTTGATATGTGACTTGACTGAGAAATGCTGGATTTTATAATGATATAGACACAAGAGGGGAAAAGAAAGGGATCACAAGAGGTAGGCGTAGGGGATTTTGCAATGCAGTGGTACAGAGACTACTGTACTACTGTACAGAGAATGTGGGATGGGGGTTTCAGGTGTGCTCTCACCTTCCTTCACTGCTTCCTCATCAAGTGACTTGAGTACTTCGCTCTTTTTTTCCTGGTTACCTGCCAGGGCAAAAGCATAGGCCAACAGTGCCTTGGTATAGACATGGCTTCCATGGGATCCCTGCTTTGCTGAATTCCAGGCTGACTCCAGGCAGAACAGGGCATTGCGGACAACAGGGTGCTGTGAAAGGTGAACAAGAAGAGAACTGAGTTACGTGAACAGGAGGCTAGCATTCCCAGGTGAACACGCAGATTGCAGCATAGGAGATAAAAAAGGATTTCAAATGCATTTGTCCATCTATTCTCATTCTTATAAAGAGAATAGTATTTTTTTAATCTGGTATTCTCAGATTTATGAGGCAGGAATAAAAAGTCATATCTTTAGAATTCATTGTGTGTGGGTGTTTGAGGGGATGCCGTTAGGGGATAGATAAATAGCCTAGAAGTATCACTGGAAAAGTCTAAGGGGTGTCCAAAAAGTGGCCCATGGACCGGCATGCGCCCCAGGATGGCTACAAATGTGGCCCAACACAAAATCATAAATTTACTTAAAACATTATGAGACTTTTCTGTGATTACATGTTGGCTCTTCTATTTAATGTGTGGTTCTTCTTCCAATGCAGCCCAGAGACACCAAAAGGTTGGACACCCCTGGTAATGGATTGATGAAATTACTTATTGATCTGGGAAGCATTACATTGCATACAAGGAAAGCTGACACTTGGCTTCAGTAGAGTGGCATTCCAAACAGCAGGTCAGTAGTATCATTGCAACCGGAATTATGCTTCAGCAGGGAAGGAGGTGGTACCTACAGTGATGGGAAGAGGAATCTCCAGAAGGGCGATGGTGATGTAGGCAGAGAGGGTCTCTTCATCTTCTACTCCTCCCTGTAGATGTGAGTGTGAGAGAGATTTGAGCAATTTAACTTTAGAGAATGTTCTCAATCAGCTCTGTTTTCTGCAGTTTCATGGAATTTATCCTTACCCATATTCATTCCCAGGGGGCAAATTATCACAATCAACCTAAATGCCATCCCCTCTTTCTTGGTGCTATCCAGGTTTTATTTTTTTTCTGATACTTTCCTTAAAGAATTTCTTCATTGTTACCTCCTCTCTTCACCCTCATACACACCATAATTGACAAGTCAAAGCTCTGAGAACACTTCACCTTAATGGCATTGTTAAGCAGTGACCCAGAACTTCTGAAACAGCCATTGTCCTTCTGCTTATGGGACAGCCAGGTGAGGGCTTCGGTAATGTATGCTTCATCAATGAAGATGTAAGTTCGAGCCTGGGCAAAAGTCTTCAGTACAAAGGCGGTGAGCCTGAGGGTGGAAGAAGGGATGATAGTATTTGTCTTATCCCATAAATGGTTTTACAAGCACTTTGCAGCAATAGGCTTCATAGGACACTTCATACATTTATATAAATCATCTAACAGGAATTCTTGTGTACATACAAAGCTCCCATCTCCTTTGGACTATTGGATTAACTTGCTAGATCTAAAATTTCCTTGTGGACTCACTTCCCCTTTGCTATAAAGTCTAAATAGTTCTAATGTTACTTAAAATAATTATTTAAGTTTTAAAATCTTTCTTCTCTTTACAGATTTCCTCCTGCTGATGGAAGAATCTTCTCATACAGCTGTTACATGCAATAATAACCTCTAATATTGGTTTGTCTTGGAGATTTTAAAAATGTTTCATATTACTGGTCCCTCTCACTTCTTTTCTTCCATTGGTGAATTTATTCTCAGTTAACTTGAACATGATCTAAAAAACATAATATAATCTGAAGTGAACATGGTTTATCTAGAAGTTATATGATATGTTCATTGGCCATATCATTAAAATGCTCATGGTAATGGGAGTTATTTTAGGAAAAAAAATAGCCATTTTAGGAAGACCTTGATGTATCATTAACAGGATGAATTTTGGAAACAAGTGTAACATACATGTATTTGAATCTCAGCTTTTCTGATTATTACCTTGATAATCTTGATGTATGTATCTAGTATAACCAACTATAAGTTTAACAATACATATCTATAGGGTTATGATAAATATAATTATGATAATATATGTAAATGTGCTGGTACAAAAAAATAGGAGCTCAAATAACTCTTTCTGTTACCAGGTGTTGCCTGCAGTCCTGCCATGTTTCTCCCCAAAGGTGCTGTAGGAGCCGTCGTTGTGCTTATAGTTCAGCTGTCTCTGGTAACCTGGAATGGAAGGTTAATGATACAGCATGAAAGATCCTATATGCTGCAGCCAGCAAAATACTGAAATGCTTTGGTTTCTCTTGTGATATTTCCTAAATTATGCTGTCATATGTTGGAAGGTTCTGAGTCCTAAATATTTTATTGGAGGTTGGATGCCAGATAGTTACCGTAAAATTAACTGTCATAGTATTCTTATCATAAGAACAATCATAGTATGACAAGCTAATGCATAATAGTATTGATAAGTAGCTCAAGCCTATTGGGAAATCCACTCTATTGTTAAAGTAACACTGAAGTTTTCACTCACTCAGTCAATCACTCACCAGTATTGAGGTAGCCAATGGCCTTGGACTTGAGCTCTGGAGTCAGCTGTTGTGTTTCATTTAGATAATTCAGAACATAGATGTTAGGAGCGAAAAGGACCATATTCTGTTCTCCACATCCATAGGGCATTTGGAGGAGATTTTGTGTGTTTCTCATGGCAGAAGCTAATATGTCTCCTAGGGAATGGAAGAGATAATAACCTATCAGAATCAGTAAGAAGAGATAAATTATTAGAGGAGGTAAAGAAATGAGGATTTTTAGGAAAGGTAAGTCTTCCAGGGACAGGAGTATGTTTGGAATCAATAAATGAGCCTTAAAAGGTAGAGAAGAAAGAAGTTTCAATTACAGTTGTTATTTTGAGAAAGTAGTTATGGAAAAACATAGTAGAAACTATCAATATAGAATAATCTATGGGACTAGAGACTCACCCAAGACTGAGAAGGAGGCTCGGGCAGATTCTTCTACCACATTTGGTGGCAGTTTCAGATGTAACTGATCAGGTACTTCAGTACCTAGAGAAAAAAACAAAGCAGCCATAGTTAAAATTATTTCTGCTATATATCTTCCTGAAGGTCTCTAAGACCAAGAAGTCAGAACTATGCCTTATACCTAAACTTCTGAAAAGTTGTCTCTCAATATTTCAGATTTTTATATCTTAAATGTGTATGAACAGGATACTGAAATTTCCAGAACTTCTCCTTCCCCAACCATTTTGTTCTCCCTATGTACAGAGTTGCATTCCAAAAGAAGTCTACACATTTACAAGTGCCCCTGATGTCATCCAAAGCTAATATGAGATGACTATCACAAGATGGTATATTTAATGCCCATTCCCAACCTCCTTACTCAACAGTTGTGTGAAAAAAACACCTTATATATACAGAAGCAAAATAAAAATATCCCCAATGTTCCTGTATTCTACAATCCATTCTGTTTTAACTTCTATCAAATTTCACCAAATATGAAGATAGCATTTTTATGGAGACTCTAGATATGGGGGTGAAGATGAACAGTATTTGTCTCATTGAAAATTAATAAAATAATTGTTGCTGATAAGTGTACATTTATTGCCATTTTAATGTTCACGAATTATATGAAGATAAAAAAGAGAAATGTTATATTTATCTTCATACTACATCTGTTGCTCATAAAATTAATATGACTTATGTCAAAGGGTACAAAGTTTTGGTTATGCCAGATGAGTAAGTTCTAGAGATGTACTGTACAGCATAGTGCCTACAGTTAACAATATTGCATTTTGTACTTAAACTTTTGTTAAGGATAGATCTTATATTAAATAATAGAGTGGGAGGAAACTTTTGGAGATGATGATTAGGTTTATAGTATAGATTATGGTATATACTTAACTCTCCAAACTCATTAAGTTGTATACATTAATTCTGTATGTTTTAAAATTATATTAATTACATATGGTTATGTAATTAAATTTAAGTTCAATCATGTAATTAAATATATAATATAATTATGCATTAAATACCATATTTTGCTGTGCATAATGTGCACTTTTTTGCCCAAGTTTTTGAGGGAAAAATGATGAGCAATTATACACGGGAAGTACCTGAAATACCTTGTATCTGTTCTTGTGTTTTGTAATTATTTGTTACATGAAATTTCTTGTACCACACTATGTTAAAAAATAAATACTAAAGTTCCTTTACAACACAAAAAACAAGTATCTAAATATAAATAAATAAATAATTGAATTAAAAAATTAACATACAAGATTTTTTTCCTGAAAGTTTGGGCCAAAAACAGGGATGTGCATTATACACAGGAGCCTGTTATACACAGCAAAGTATGGTAAATGCATGGTTATACTAATTATGAATATATCATTCATATGTCAAATATGTCTATTACCTTCCAAAACACATTGTTGTAAGGAAACAGATACCATAAATAAAGTAAAAAGACAAATTACCAACTGAAAGGAAATATTTGGTAAGATATTCAATAGATAAAGACTCAGTGTCATACAGCTGAATCAGAGAAAAGACCAACTCCTCCAATATGAATGGTCAAGGATATAAAAGCAATTCATAAATATGAATAAATAAATTCACCCTCACTCATGACTAGAGAAGTGTAAGTTAAAACAACAACATATTATTTCATCCAAATATTTGGTTAAAATGGAAACTTTTATGGCAATAGATGACAGTGATCATTATGGGGAATGCAAAGTGGTAGAAATATAAATTTAGGTAATAGAATGTTTTAATTCTTTTAAAAGTAAGAATATATACACACTGCCTTTTAACAGGAAAGTCACAGTCTGGTGTCAACTTTAGGTGTACTTGTGTGCACACATGGGACTGGCTGAGGAACCAGGCAGAACTGTGATACTGACAGTGTGGAATTAGAGGGAACTAGGAGGAATTATCTAACCTTATAATTTAACATGGGAAACATGTCAAGACCAGTTGATGAGTAAGAAAAAGGGAGTTAGTTATAGGCAGAAACTTATGAAACTCATACCACATACATAAACCATAATACACAAATTCATCTGCACATTATTATTTTTAATCATACAGGTATGGTCATGGAAGTGTTGAAAAAGACTGTAAGGGGGTGATACTGGCCTGTGATACGAAGTTCTGTTTTGTTTCATTTTTAAAGGAGAATGCGTTTCTGTATTACATAGGTAATTAAAATTAATTCTAATAAAACTGCCTGGTGATTAGCTTTGACATACAAGAGATAAATCAAAATGAAGAACTCAGAATTGGAGGAGAAACCAGGATAAAATGCTTTGGTGATAACATTAAGTTCATTTAAATGTAGAAGGAAAGCTAAACAACCAGACAGTTATGTACTTGGAATACTCTATGTATTTGAAGTTTTGACAATATAAAAATCACATTGGTCAGAAATCGGTATGTAGATAGAGAAAGACCAGGAACGCATATATGATGTTGTTTTGACATTGGTTTGAGGTAAGAACACATTGTGTTGATAAATTTCTTAGCGCACTAAATTTCTATAAAAGTTTTTGTTTAGACTAGAAAATTCTTTGCCAAGATAAAGTTATATCTTCTACTGTAAACTTCAGTCACTGGCAAATGACTGAGAGAGCTTAGGTACAGGATTGGCATCGAACAAATACTGACATGACAGTAATGGTACAGGCTGCAACAGCTTTTATTTTTGGTAAATAGCATGGTCCCATTATCAAATGCTGTTGGTTCTGCATGTATAAGGGACACATGGACAAAGCCAAAGGGGGGTAGGATCAACGGTGGGAGGTGGGGATGGCTGGGGTGGGGGTGGAAATGGAGACAACTGTATTTGAACAACAGTGAGAGAGAGAGAGCAAGAGCACGCTCTCATGTGCAAGAGAGGTTCTTAGTTTTCTTCAAGGAAGAAAATAGATTATAGTGAGAGTGGATCAATTTAAAAAAAACGCTGTAGGTTCTGAAAAACTCAGTGGTGGGATAACCTGAATTTAGCTATCCATATATTGTATTACTAAGTATTCAAAGAAATATCCCATTGGCAATATTCTGATTCCACCCACTTTCTACCTATAACCACATACATACTGGTCAGAAAGACATTTTGGTGGTTGCACAGATGCTGTAAGAGAAAAAAGAGTTATAATGCACGAGCTAGGGATATTCTCCTGATCAAATTACTTGGCCTCTCTAAGACCCGTTTTCTCATTTGTCAAATGAGAACCACCAGGTTCTTTGGGTCTTACTGGCCTTATAGGATTAAGTGTAGATATAACATATAAAATTCTTTGATCTTCATATGTTACACAAGTTTTAGTCAATGTTATTTTAATTATTAAGGCTGATTCTTACCTGATGGGCAAAGCAGGGAGTTGAATGTTATTTCCTTCTCTAGTCCTTCAGGCTTTGTGTGGAAAAAAGAAAAGTCAGAGGTAAGAATGGACTCACTTTCAGAAAAATTGTATTGATAGGGTAACCACAAATTTCTTGATAGTAAACAGGAGAAGTGGAACTGACTTCTCAAATGTACTATATAAATAAATTTTATAAGTAAAACAAATATGAAGGAGACAGGTTGACAGATGAAAAAGTGAGGGAAAATGAAAAAATAAATTAAGAGAAAAGGGATGGAGAGACAGAGATATAGACATGCACAGATATCTATATTTATAAAATAAGATTATGAAAGATGATCATATATTATTTAGCTCCTGTTACCTAACAGTTACAATCTTAACTGGATTCACTGTTGTTTTTATTAACTCATTGCAACCTATCAAATGTGTAGGCTTACTCACTTCAACCAAAAGGGGCTTGATGATTTTGTCTTTCATTCCATATTCAGGGACCACAGCCACCTCAGACCCACACAGTTCTTGAGACTTCACTGCCTCTGCGCTCACGGTGAAATTCACACTCCCTGAAAAAACGGGCCAGTAGAGATGAGCACTGTCTCCCCTTTCCTCCATACCTTTAAACTCCAAGATTTATAAATGTTCTGTAAACTTTTTTTTTGGTTTATAAAAACACAAGACTAGAAATGGAAGTGGCATAAATTAGAAAATAATGATATCGAGTATCCAAGGTGATAAGGAGGAAAGGGAAATAGGAATATCCTTCTAGACACCCTAGAATAAGAAACAAAGAAAAAAAATTCTACCGTGTGGGAGAAAAGACATCTTTGAGAGAAGTAGAACTGAATATAAGAATCCCACTGTTATACAAACTTGAAGCAAGATTGAGTAGTTCCTAGGAATCTGTCTCTTACCTAATGACTTTGGGGTTACTGCCCAGGATACGGTTTGTCGTCCATTCTCACAGATGCAGTAAGAGTCTTCTTCCTTCTCCACTGGGACAGCTTGGAATGCAGGAGAGGCTTCTAGGTGCACACTGACCTGAAACCACACAGGAGACAGAGACAAGAGATCAGAGGAAGAAGGGGAGTGAAGTGAGAATGGCTTGTAATAAAACATTTTGGAGACATGGTTAGATTTCAAGTTGCCTAATTCTGAAGATTTTATAGGTAGATTTGAACCCTAAATATTAGTATTTTGGTATAATCTTCTCTTTCATGTGGTGGGTGAGGTGAGGAAACATCATGATGACAAGATTCCTTTGGCTGGGAATCTTGACCATTCTCCAAGCTTTCCCAGCAGAGTGTATAAGATTTATAAAGTTATTGTTTCAGCAGAAATAAGATGTTCACAAATAATTTTTAATGAATGATACATGAAAAGTTAAATATATGAGAATATAGAGGTTGAAACCTTGAAGAATTTAAGACATATAAATGGAGCCTAATAATTTTGATGTCCATATCAGAACTCTTCATAAGACAAAACCTTCCTAACCTTAGAAGATTGTGATAAGAGTAAGAAACTTGTGACAACATGAATGGATCTGGAGAATTGTATGCTAAGTGAAATAAGTCAGTCAGAAAAAGCCAAGAACCATACGATTTTACTCATTGTGAAAATCATGGACACAGACAACAGCATGGTCGTTTCCAGAGGGAGGGGTGGATGGGGTGGTAGCAAAGGGTAAAGGGGGCTTAATATATGGTGGGGAAAGATGACTTGAGCTTGGTTGGTAGGCATGGATGCGATATATAGATTATGTATCGTAGGAATGAACACTTGAAACCTATATAATTGTATTAACCAATGTCACCTTAATAAATTCAATTAAAAAATCTTAGAAAAAAAAGAGAAACTTATTTTAAGTTGCAATCTGGTATTTAGAGATAACAACAACTATAGTGATGAATATGCACATATTATAAATATCTGATAGTATTCTTCCTCTGGTGGACACATTTTACACATAGGAGTCTGTTACTATTCCTGGGATGAAATTTATAATTTAAGTAACCCTGTGTTTAATTTAGTAGAGAGAGATTCTTACCCGGATGCATTTGGAAAGGTAGTTGATGACAGTAGCCTTGAGTGTGAAGGCCTCTCCACGGATCACAGAGTAGGGCATTGTGAGCTCCACAAAGAAGGGCTGGAAGGCTCGGAGGGAGGCAGGAAGAGAGAGACCAAGTCCAGTGTCATTGGACAGGCAGAGGGCCCCTGCCTTCCACTCAGTGATGGTATCAGGGACTGTTACTCCTACTTCAGCCACACCCGATGAGCTGGGGAGGATGGCAAAGTGAGGAACAGAAAGTAAGCAGTTGAGGAAATCCTTTCAAGGAAGAGAAACTTATAAATGATTCTGTTATAATTTGTATGCACTCAGAAGAAATGCCAATAATGAGTATAAATAAGACTTAATATAGGAATATATAATTGCTTTTCTTCCAACTCTTGTTTTCCATTTCAGTCTATATCTGAGTTTTCTACAGACATATAGCTATAGTATAATCTATGATAGACAATATAATTATAAACTAAATTTATAATTTGAGATTGTTCTTATATTTTCCTCTCTAAAATATTGTTCCACCGAGGGCAGGTTTATAATTTTCAGTTCTATTATTACTGTGTATCATTGGTCTGACTGATTCTGTGCTTAATTCAAGATTGCTGACCCATGAAGGATCTCTTCTAAGTGTTAATCTATGCAGTGCTTGGTTATATTTAGTCCTTATGCTTATTTTTCTGGAAATCTTTGAATTAAATTTATGCAAAATTTCTTAGCACTGATGTAATTATATTAATGAGATGTCATAGCAGAAGCAGTTATATCCAACTTCTCCTGAAAACAGCAATGTGTCTAAAAGAAAATATGTGGATGGTGAAAAATTAGCTAAAAATGGAAAAATTTGAGGAATCTCTATTGTATTTTATATATAATGACAGTTACTTACTCCACTACCACCAAGTCCCAGATCCATGTCTCAGGGAAGTACTTTCGCACAGTCTCTGTGAGAGGCTCTGAAACGTGGGCTACAGAATCCTGAACGACACTTTCCAATGCACTTACATCTATGATGGGTGAGGGATGGAGGCAGAAACAATAAATATAAAGATCAAGCTAATAATAAGTAATAAGTGCTACAAAAGAAAGAAACAGGGTGATGAAATAGGAACCAGGAGAGGACACTTGGGTGTTAGGGAAAAGCTTCTTTGAAGAGGCAATGTTTTAGCTGAGTTCATAAGTATTAGAATAAGCTAAGAGTGAGATGGGGAAAGAGAATCACAGAGAACATAGAGGCCCAGAGGCAGAAAGAGGCTTGGATTGCCCATGGGGCAGAAAGGAGTCCTCTGTGGCTACTGTACATTATCTAAGGGGAGATTTCTATGACATGGGGGTGGGAGGAGGGCAGGAGTTAAAGTTTTCATTTGGTATGTTTTTCTGTGGGAGCAAAAAAAATCATATCATTATGACAGTGGGTTTGAGAAACACTTCATAGAAGTGAAAGCTTTTTATTTCCTTATATGTCAAAAGATCAGAGTTAGAATCTCTCATTTTATTTACCTTCTGTTAATGGTGTGCTGGTAAATATTTAACAATCAGCTCTCTGGAAAAATATTTGTGCATATATATATATATTTGTACATGTATAAGTTAACTATAAATCTGATAAAGAATTATAGTATATAATTTATAAATAAAAACATACAATAATTTTTGTTTAAATTCCACATAGCCCATTGATTCTCATCGAATGTTTTCCTTGATTTTTGACAAACTCTTTAGTTTGTACTATGTATTTAACTATGATTTGACAATCTCAGACAATAAGCAAATGCCTGGTTACTATCTGACTTACTTATCAAAGAGGTAGCCCATATCATTGACAAACAGGTATGATTTCAACATGAATATTGGCTAATGTTTTGGGAACATTAAGGGGCTTCTTCACTTGATTGGTGAGAATGTAGTCTTTCTAAAAAATATATTTTATTGATTATGCTATTACAGTTGTCCCAATTTTTCCTCCTTTGCCCCACTCTATGTGGTAGCCCCCTTCCCTCCAGCAATGCCCTTCCTTAGTTCATGTCCATGGGTCATGCATATAAGTTGTTTAGATTCTTCATTTCCTATACTATTCTTAACATCCTGCTATTTTGTACCTACAAATTATGCTTTTTAATCCCTGTACCTTTTCCCCCATTCTTCCTGTTCTCTCTCCCAGCTGATAATCATCCAAATGATCTCCACACCTACAATTCTATACCTGTTCTGGTTGTTTGCTTAGTTTGTTTTTTTCAGATTCAGTTGTTGATAATTGTGAATTTGTTTCCATTTTAATGTTCATAGTCTTGATTTTCTCCTGTTTCTTAAATAAGTCCCTTTAAAATTTCATATAATAATGGCTTGGTTATGATGAACTTCTTTAGCTTTACCTTATCTGGGAAGTACTTCATCTGTCCTTTCATTCTAAATGATAGCCTTGTTGGGTAGAGTAATCTAGGCTCTATGTCCTTGTTTTCATCACTTTGAATACTTCTTGCCAGTCTGTTCTTGCCTGCAAAATTTCTTTTGAGAAATCAGCTGATAGTCTTATGGGAACTCCTTTGTAGGTAATTCTCTGCCTTTCTCTTGCTCCTTTTAAGATTCTCTCTATCTTTTACCTTTGGCATTTTAATTATGATGCATCTTGGTGTGGTACTCTTTGGGTCAAATTTGTTTGGAATTCTCTGTGCTTCCTGGACTTGTGTGTCTATATCCTTTGCTGAATTAGGGAAGTTCTCCTTCCTTATTTTTTCAAATAAGTTTTCAATTTCTTGCTCTTCCTCTTTTCCTTCTGGCACCTCTATGATTCAGATGTTGGTACTTAAGGAGATGTCCCAGAGCATCCTTATACTATCCTCATTTTTTAAAATTCTTCTTTCTTTTTGCTCTTCTGGGTGAATGCTAATTTTTTTTCCTTGTGTTTCAAATCATTGATTTGATTCTCAGCTTCCTCCCTCCTCTGTTGGTTCCTTGTAGATTTTTCTTTATTTCACTTAGTGTAAACTTTACTTCCTCATTTATGTTGTTGCTGTTGTTGCTGTACAGTGAGTTCTTTGAGCATCCCGATCACCAGTGTTTTGAATTCTGCATCTGATAGGTTGCTTATCTCCATTTTGTTTAGTTCTTTCTCTGGAGTTTTGTTCTGTTCTTTCATTTGTGCCATGTTTCTTTGTATTCTCAATTTGGCAGTTCTCTGTGTTTGTTCCCCAGCTGTTGCTCTGGTGCTGAATTCCAGAGTGAGTGGGTTTGCATTTGTTCTAAGTCCATGTGGGCTCTTTAGAGTTTCTTGAGAATTCTGCAGTTTCTTCCACCATCCCAATCCACTCTGATTTTTATGGCCAGAAGTTATGAGGGTTTATCTTCCTGGCACTGGCTTCCTAGGCTGTGTGGTCTGGCCTGGAGCTGGGACTGTGCACTCCCAAGGCCAGACTGCACAGCCCAGGGATACAGTGCCTCCCAATTTTTATCCACCACATGTGAATGTGGGACCATCTGTTCTGCCACTTCCGCTACTTCTCCACGGCACACAATGCATCTCTGCACCTCTCTGCCTGTCTCCGCGACTCCACCCCTCCTACCCTTCTGAATGAATGTTGCTTCTTTAAATCTTTGGATGTCAGATTTTTACACAGCTCGATTTTCTGATGGTTCTGGGTGTTACTTGTTTTGAGATCTAGTAGTAATTCTTTCTGTGGTTGAGTGAGGAGGTGAAGAGTGTCTACCTACACCTCCCTCTTGCCTGGAAGTAGAATGTAGACTTGACTTCTGAACATTCTGTTTCTGTTTACATAGATCATATGCCTAAAACTTTCTCTTCCTTTTTTGAGTCCACATATCTTTATTTACTAGATACAGATTCTTCATGACTGGCTTTCCTGATTCCTCAATCAGAATTAACTTTCCCTGTGTTCTAACACTGTTCACAATCTGACTTAAGTTTGCTCCCCTGACACAGTCAGAACTTTGGGGTTTATGTTGCTACGTGACTTTGAGCAATACCTTAATATATCTAAACACAAGATGTTTTTGGTCAATTTTATCACTTTTTTATCTTAAAAATTCTTTTATTTGTTTCAATACATTAGACAATATATTATTAACTATTATTTTACCTGAATAAGATAATAATCTTGGAGAACTCATCATTGAATAGACTGGATGGTGTAAGCATACTTTGGGTTTATGAATCTTTGAGTTGGTAAATACCTTTAAGCCCATATCCTGTGAAGAAAATGATCACCTACTCAGTACATAAATATTTAAAAAAATATATAGGCACATACTTTTAAAAATTGAAATTAATAAACAATCCAATTTGTTTCATATTAAGCTCTTGATGTTCAGATCTATAGAAGGGACATTGATGTATTTATAGAGGTAATTTCATTCTTTTTAAAAAACACTTCAGTAATTATTTTCTATATATGATATATATAAGTAAATATAAGGAAACTTGATTAATAGCCCAAAAAGTCACAGTACTGGCTCTTTGCTGTTAGTAGATCTGCTATTCTTAGTGACCTTGGACAAGTCACTTGACCTCTCTATGTCCCATTACTCTCAACTCTGATATGAAGGCATTTGGCTTCCTAGGCTGTGTGGCATTAAAATAAATAATTAAAAATATATAATATTTTGTAAACCCTAAGAAGCCCCCCCGCCATCTGCAATATAAGGAACTCACCTGCAGGAAGCTGTACATATCTTTTTCATTTGTGTTGGACACTGGGGAATAGACAATTCCATTGACATAGACATTATGGCTGACACAGTCTCCACTGTCATCCTCCTGCTGATTCAAACTCCCAGGGAAACCAGTGAGGTCCTTTACTGGTAACAGGTTATAAACCTGTACAAATGCAAAGGACAAAAGGACACATTTGTGGTTTATTTCTTTTAAGTGCAAGGGTAAAAAAAAAGAATAATCACCATCAGTCCTAGAGTGTCTCCATTGCTTACATATTTTATAGAGAAGATGATCTTGAAAATGTTTAACAATTTTAAGGAAAAAACACTAAAATATTTCCATCTAAGCCAGGATCATAATACTTTGCCACATAGTTCAGAGACAAACCTTAGACTACATACTAGAATAAAATAAAACTTCATTAGGAGACATTGTACAAAGCTTTTTTTTTAAGATTTTATTTATTTTTAGAGAGGGAAGGGAGGGAGAAAGAGAGAAAGAGAAACATCAATGTGCAGTTGCTGGGGGCCATGGCTTGCAACCCAGGCATGTACCCTGACTGGGAATCGAACCTGCGACACTTTGGTTCACAGCCCGCGCTCAATCCACTGAGCTACGCCAGCCAGGGCTGTACAAAGCTTTAAGATGATAGAATGATATGATAGTTTTGTCTCTACCTTGAGGTTAGCAACTGACTCAGTGTATATGTGACAAAGTTAATGGACACTTTCTAAACAGGTACATGAATAAACATATACCCATGTTAAACATATAAACAGGACAGTATTTTCTTCGGTATTATTCATAGGAACAAAATACTCCAGATCTTCACAAATACATAAAACTTTAACTGCAAAATATTGGAAATAGTATTTTTAAATTCATTGAGAAAGGAACAGTAAGACAGACATACAAATGCTGACGGGTACTGCAGTATTCATAGAAGTATGAAACTGATTGATAAGAACAGATTAGCAAAGTGAGTAAGGTAATGAAATTAGATATCTTCTCAAAGGCAGCTGTCTCTTACTATTCTAGATCTTCCTTCACTGCTAATTTTTATCCAGAGCATACTATATGATTATTGTCTTTCTAATCTATGAAAATGTTAGTTCCACAGGAGCATGGATTTTTGTCTTTCCAGTAGTTCACTACTAGATACCCAGAACTTCAACGCAAAGTAGGCACACGTAGAACACAGTAGGGACTAAATAAATGTGTTGAATGAATGGCTTATGCTATTTGGAGCAAAGTGTTTCATTAGTAAAACACTATCAAGGGTCGAGAGGAACTATTGTGGTAACCCAGGTCTACTACTAAATACTTGTAGCTTTTGCTTAATTATTAACATGTTAATAGGATTTTCTGCCCTTTTTACCCCCTGAGGTTATTATAATTAAAAAAAATTCTGAGGACTATAAAATGTTATTATACAAACAAAACATCAGTGTTATTTTTCCATATATCCTCTTACTCCCACTATTAAAATGTACTTAATTCTTTCTTTAGAGGTATTCTAGATTGCTGGGGGTGGGGATGGGAGTATGAGGGGAATAAATGGTAATGGAAAAATAAAATAAAAATGACAAAAACATATCCTAATACTTTCAATTAAATTCCACTGGAAGGGCTGAAAAGTAATCAATTCTTATAGGTTTTTCTTTTAGGAAAGTAAAAATATAAATTTCTGTTTGTAAAATTTTGATGGTAAAAAACATCAATAAAAGGCTATTTCAATTGGTGTCAGAGTGAACATTTGAAGATATGAGCAAGTGACTATTAGAACACACATTGTTAACAGTTTCTTATTGTTCCACTCCAGCATACCCTTTTGCTATTTCTTGTTAACCCAATGTTAAAATAATTCATTTATTAATGTCATTTATCATATAGTAATTCATTTTTCTTAATTTTTACTCATCAGAGACAATACAACATCTTCCTTCAGAAATTGTGTCCATCTTGTATTCTCCAGTATTTCAATTTGAATTTGATATAATTCAAAGTGCACATGAGAGAGCTCAAAACTATTCACTTGTAGGTAAATATAATTGTAACAGATCCTGTCCTACTCAGAAAGGCAATTCTTCTTGCTTGGAGACCCTTACCTGCCCTTCCTGACCCGAGGCTGAGGGAACTCACCGAGGACGGGGACAGCTCGGCCTCAGGCTTCAGGAGCAGCACGCTCTGGTCCACTGCGCGGAGGGCACAGAGGGACTGAGGAGAAGCTGTGACGCGCAGGTGGGCGTGTGAGGCAGGAAGACTTTGTGCTGGGCTGAAGCTCAAATCCACCTGTGAGATTAAAGAGATAGACCAGAAAAACAAATTTCCTGACCTAATCCTGTAGGCACCAGCATTTTCTGCGTGCTGCTCACATCCAATGCATAATTACTGACTTCACGGGGGTGAGTACTGTGTGAGACCTGCCGCTTTTTGTCCCTTCTACTTCATTTTGATTTTTTTTCCAAGAATAAGTGGAGCCATTATAATGATATCTAATTATTTTTATAACTTATTAAATTGAGATGTCATGTTTACTTTTGATACATGGTGAAGTGTTCATTAACTACAAGATATAGAAAGCAAATGGTTCTAGTCTAGATGCTCTTGTATTTTTCTTTTGGCTTTTTAGGAGTCTTAAAAACTTACTTACATATTTCCCAACATTTCATCATAGAAAAAGGGAACAAGGTACTCTGAGTCATATCATATGGGAAGAGATAATGCATGAGAATTTTGCACTAGGAGTCAAGTGACATGGTTTCTTCGAGTGACTGCCATTACCTTGCTGAAATCCTCTGCAAAATTCACTTAACTCCTTTGGTCCCCATGCTCAAATGAAGAAAATAATTAATTATGATAGTAACTTCTAGTTTAATGTTAAAAAATTTATGGTATGAAGCACCCACCTTGTTGGCCAGACAATTTTCAACCTCGTATTTCGCAGAATCCCCAACCACTTCCCCATCAGGTAAAATGGCATAGATGAGCAATCGGGCAACTGGAGCAATGTCTGATTCCACGGGGAATGACACAGAAAAGTGGCCTTTCACTGGAGCACAGAGACAATGAGGAAGTGACTATGGGTTAGACGTCTCCCCAGGGAAAACATGAAAGTTTCTATTACACAAAGCCATTTTAGGAACCTGGTGTAGTTAATAGTTGTTTCTAGTAGTACATGTAATAGATATAATAAACGATATGTAACAAATGGATGACTGCCCCTAAGAACTCTAGTTTTAGGGGAAAATGCCTTATTGAAGTCCTTCTTGGCTGCTATTTGATCCAGACCTCACATTAGAAAAGGGAAATAGACCCTGAAGTTGTGAGTTATAATATTAAAAGTTTAACACATTGTATTTATCCTTATATCCTCTCCAGTCCTCTATGAACATAATATTCTTCTTAAGAAGAACACTGCTTCTTTGGAAGTTATTTGCTGAGTCTACATAGATTCTTCAGAGGTTGTATTAAACTTTGTAAGTCTAATCGTGATGCTTTTGTGTTGCTATGAAAAAGCAAGAAAAGAGTAATTCACTGACAGTTTTCTAGTAAGTGGTATTTTAGACTTTCTTAGAATAGAAACCATCAGAGATTTATATTGTTCCATATTTATTCATGAGGGGAGTCCAATTCAATCAAACTCTTCATGAGTCATAACTATCTTTAAAAAGGAAAAATGATATACAAATATAAATCAATCTGCACAACACCTAGTTACAGAAGGCACTACAAAATTTTACCTTCTCTTCAATGATTAAAACAATTTCGAAATGTCATTTTGTGAAGATGGTCCATGAGTATTTGTAGCTTGAAAATTTGGATAAGCATGGATTATAAAAACACTACATATACATTTTAAATAATCTGAACAGAATACACTGAAGGAAAAAATATTGGGTGAAAAAAAGAAATATTGCTTTCTCCTCTCAACTTCTTTACTGGTGTTAGGTGGAAAATTTCTCTCTTTATTTTAAACGATTCCTGGTATTTCTGTAACATAAGGTTGAATGTGTCAGAGTAGGGAGGGCATGTGGAGTTATGGAAATACTCACTGTCTCCTTGCTCCACAGGCAGTACATGAATCCCAGTTCGGACAATGCCTCCCTTTGCCATTATCTGAAAAAAAAAAAAAAGGAAAAAAAGGCAATGAAAAGCTTCTTATCTCAAGTCTTGCCCTACATGTAATATGCTTGTTTTCTTGCACCCCTGCTGGCATTAAGTAGGCCTAAAAGAAGTCAAACTTTCTGAAAAAAAAACAGACATTCTAAAGAACTTCAAAAATCCTTGCTCCACAGAGGGTGTTTGTTTACAGATGAGCCAATGCAATGGCCTTCTTCTCACCAGGTAATAGAATGACAGCTCCTTTAGCTCCTGCAGAGCCTGTCCATTCAGAACATAATGTGCTTGGATAGTCTGAGTTTGGCCACAGGGCAGTTCACGAGACAGGGGATTAAGGTGGACAAAGCTCTTGCTTGGAGAGAATACAAGATCAGCAGTGTGATGAGCTTCTTCGTATTCTCCTGACAGCCATTGGTAACTATAACAGGGGCTCTGATCCTTGTGTTTGACCTAATAAATTAGAAAAACAATATTACTTTATAGGTTACATCTCATAGAGAATCAATGTTCTCACAAAACTGCATTAGTTGACTGTACTGCCTAGACTAGTACCTAGGAATCTCTCGCTCACCGTAAAAAGGGACAGAGAAAGCCCCTTCCCATTTGTTTATCTGTATTTCAGGCAAGGTTTGTGCCTTTACACTGAAGAGGCTCCTTGGGTTGGTACTCATAGTTTTGAAGAGCATAAAAGGAGACAATCTTTGCTCCAATTAGCTTGCTTGACATTTCTCTGGCCACTTTACTATAGACACTGGAGCTATGAAACCTCTTTGAGGAGGCTAAATAATCTCCAAAAACTGAAGAATTGCATTTCAGAAAATCTGTGCCTCATTTGTGATGAGCTTCAAATAGGTATTATGACTAAATGTAATATTGCATCCTGAGAAGTCTGAGAATACTTGCTGTATTCTGGTTCAAGAGTTGAGCTGGTGACTGCAAGAGATTCTAAAAGGACTGCTTTAAGGAGGAGAGGGGGGAGAGAGGGAGAGAGAGAGAGAGGAACACACATACATAAAAGACAATGAATAAGTACCTATCAATAATAACCTTAAACGTAAATGGATTAAATGCTCCAATCAAAAGACATAGAATAGCTGATTGGATAAGAAAAAAATGACCCACATATCTGCTGTCTACAAGAGACCCACCTCAGGATAAAAGACCTACACAGGCTGAAAGTGAAGGGCTGGAAACAAATCTTCAAGCAAATGGTCAGGAAAAAAAAAGCTGGGGTAGCAATACTCATATCAGACAAAATAGACTTCCAAAAAAGGTCCATAAAGAGAGACCCAGAAGGTCACTTCATAATACTCAAGGGAAGAATCCATCAAGAAGACATAAATATTGTAAATATATATGCACCCAACATAGGAGCACTGAAATACATACAGAAAATCTTAGAGGACTTCAAGAAAGATATGGACAGCAACACAATTATAGTGGGAGATTTTAACACCCCACTATCAAAAATGGACAGATCTTCTAAACAAAAATATCAACAAAGATATTGTGGCATTGAACAATACCCTTGATGAAATGGATTTTACTGATATATACCGAGCCCTCCATCCAAAAGAAGCTAAATATACATTCTTTTCAAATGTGCATGGAACATTCTCAAAGATAGACCACATGATAGGACACAAAACAAGCCTCAAGAATTTCAAGAAAATTGAAATCATACCAAGCATTTTCTCAGACCACAAGGGACTGAAGCTAGAAACCAACCTGAAGGAAAAAAAACCAAAAAACACTCAAAATCATGGAGATTAAATAGCATGCTATTAAACAATGAATGGGTCAAGAATGATATTAGGGAAGAAATCAAAAGGTTTCTGGAAACAAATGAAAACGAACTCACTACAACCCAAAACTTATGGGACACAGCCAAGGCAGTCCTGAGAGGGAAGTTCATAGCGATACAGGCCCACCTAAAAAGGTTAGAAACTTTCCAAACAAACAACCTAACCCTACGTCTACAAGAACTCGAGGAACAACAACAAAGACAGCCCAGAGCAAGCAGAAGGAAGGAAATAACCAAGATCAGAGCAGAATTAAATGATATAGAGACTAAAAGCACAATTCTAAGGATCAATGAATCCAAGAGCTGGTTCTTTGAAAAGATAAACAAAATAGACAAGCCTTTAAGCAGACTCATCAAGAAAAAAAAGAGAAGACCCAAATAAACACAATCAGAAATGAAAGAGGAGAGATTACAACAGATACCACAGAAATACAAAGGATTGTAAGAAATTACTACGAAGAACTGTATGCCAAAAAAATTGAAAACCTAGATGAAATGGACAACTTTCTAGAAAAATATAATCTTCCAAAACTCAATGAAAAAGAAGCAGAAAGTCTGAACAGACCAATAACAACAAAAGAAATTGAAGCAGTAATCAAAAAAACTCCCAACACACAAAAGCCCGGGACCAGATGGTTTCACAGGAGAATTTTACAAAAGCATTTAAGGAAGAGCTAACCCCTATCCTTCACAGACTATTCCAAAAAAATCCAAAAAAGATGGGAGTCTCCCAAACTCTTTTTATGAGGCCAACATCATCCTAATTCCAAAACCAAATAAAGACACAACAAAGAAAGAAAACTTCAGGCCAATATCACTGATGAACATGGACGCTAAAATCCTCAACAAAATACTGGCAAACCGCATCCAACAATACATTAAAAAGATTATACACCATGACCAAGTGGGATTCATTCCAGGGATGCAAGGATGGTTCAATATTCGCAAGTCAGTAAATGTAATACATCACATAAACAAAAGCAAAGACAAAAACCACATGATCATATCAATTGATGCAGAAAAAGCATTTGATAAGGTACAGCACCCATTCATGATAAAAACACTCGGCAAAGTGGGAATAGAGGGAGCATTCCTCAACATAATAAAGGCCATATATGAGAGACCTTCAGCCAACATCATTCTCAATGGGCAAAAAATTAAAACCTTTTCCATTAAGATCAGGAACAAGACAAGGCTGTCCACTTTCACCACTTCTATTCAATATAGTACTGGAAGTTTTAGCCACAGCAATCAGACAAGAAAAAGAAATAAAAGGCATCCAAATCGGAAAGGAGGAAACAAAACTATCACTGTTTGCAGACGACATGATAGTATACATAGAAAATCCTATTGACTCTACCAAAAAACTGCTTGACCTAATAAATGAATTTGGCAAAACAGCGGGATACAAAGTCAATATCCAGAAATCAAAGGCATTTCTGTACACCAACAATGAAACAGCAGAAGCAGAGATCAAGGGAAAAAAATCCCATTTGAAATAGCAAAAAGAAAAAATAAAATATCTAGGAATAAACCTAACCAAAGAGGTAAAAGACCTGTATTCAGAAAACTACACAACACTGAAGAAAGAAATCAAGGAAGACACAAACAAATGGAAACATATACCGTGTTCATGGATTGGAAGAATTAATATCATCAAAATGTCCATACTACCCAAAGCAATTTACACATTCAATGCAATTCCTATTAAAGTACCAATGGCATATTTCACAGACATAGAACAAACACTTCAAAAATTTATATGGAATTATAAACGACCCCGAATAGCTGCTGCAATATTGAGAAAGAAGAGTAAAGTAGGAGGGATCACAATACCCGACACTAAACTATATTACAAGGCTACTGTAATCAAAACAGCCTGGTACTGGCATAAAAACAGGCACATAGACCAATGGAACAGAACAGAGAGCCCAGAAATAAGCCCAAGTCTCTATGGTCAATTAATATTTGACAAAGGAGGCAGCAATATAAAATGGAATAAAAATAGCCTCTTCAACAAATGGTGTTGGGAGAACTGGACAGCCACGTGCAAAAAAAATGAAACTTGAGCACCAACTTACACCATATACAAAAAATAAATTCAAGGTGGATAAAAGACTTAAATATAAAACATGACACCATTAAAGTCCTAGAGGAGAACGTAGGTAAGAAAATCTCAGATATTTCACGAAGAGACTTTTTTAATGACGTGTCCCCTAGAGCAAGGGACATAAAGGAAAGAATAAACAAATGGGACCTCATCAAAATTAAAAGCTTCTGCACAGCTAAAGAAAACAGTATGAAAATTAAAAAGAGAACCAACTGTATGGGAAAACATATTTGCCAATGACACCTCAGACAAGGGTCTAATCTCCAAAATATATAGAGAACTTACACGACTGTACTCTAAGAAGACAAGGAATCCAATTAAAAAAGTGGGCAAAGGACTTGAATAGACACTTCTCCAAGGAGAACATACAGAGGATCCAAAGACACATGAAACGATGTTCAATATCGCTAGCTATCAGAGAGATGCAAATTAAAACCACAATGAGATACCACTTCAGACCGGTCAGAATGGCCATCATAAACAAAGCAACAAACAACAAGTGTTGGAGAGGTTGTGGAGAAAAGGGGACCCTAGTGCACTGTTGGTGGGACTGCAGACTGGTACAACCACTATGGAAAGCAATATGGAACTTCCTCAGAAAACTAAAAATGGATCTGCCTTTTGACCCTGCAATTCCACTACTGGGACTCTATCCTAAGAATACTAAAACACCAATTCAAAAGAACCTATGCATCCCAATGTTCATAGCAGCACAATTCACAATAGCTAGATGCTGGAAGCAACCTAGATGCCCATCAGTAAATGAATGGATCAAAAAACTATGGTACATTTACACGATGGAATTCTATGCAGCAGAAAGAAAGAAGGAGCTCCTACCCTATGCAACAGCATGGATGGAGCTGGAAAACATTATGCTAAGCGAAACAAGCCAGGCAGTGAAAGACAAATACCATATGATCTCACCTTTAACAGGAACCTAAATAACAAAACAAAGAAACAAGCAAAATGTAACCAAAGACACTGAAATAGAGGACAGGCTGATGGTGACCGGAGGAGAGAAGAGGGAATTTAAGGGGGACAGTGGGAAGGGTTCACAGGAACAAACTTAAAGGACACATGGTCATAGACTAAGGGGAGGGTGGTAATGGGAGGGAAGGGGGGGGCGGGTGGGAGGGGGAACTGGATTGGGAGTAAAAAGGAGAAAACTGTATATGAACAATGATTAATTAAAAAAAAAGAGTTGAGCTGGTGAGTTGGCGGAAGTCCACTTCTCCTGAGCTGTCTTAGGCTGATTCTTTTAATGCTTCCTGTGATTCTGGGTTCTTAAGCTTTGTAGGCACTATTTGGGTTGTATTTCAATTTTTCTCCACATAAAATTGTTCACTAGTTTTTTTTCAGGCTTCCCCTACCTTCATCTTCACTCCCCAAGTGGCATGAGTGAATTCCTGTGTCAACAAACTACATCGTTTGTACATCAGTGTATGTTCTAGCGATATAAATGCTCATCAAAAAGAGCGATCATTTAGAAATAACATTTTCATTTCTCAGAACTATCCCAGTACCTAGCACATAGAAGGTATTCAAGATACTCCTTGATGGAATTAATGAGTAATTATTTAATTTTCAGCTATTAGAAGTATAGGCTTTTATGCCTACTATTTAAAGATGAATAAAGTATATTATTTATTCTTTTTTTATATTTATATGAAAAATTCTAAGAGGCAGGGGCTTTTCATCACTATTTTGTGTAATATCTATTGTGCAGTCATATATCAATAAATGCATATCTATATCTCCATTGATTAATAGAGAATTATATGGTATACAAAACAGATTGTATGGGTAAGGACAGAGTCTGGAGAAAATTAGAATAGCAGGGCAAAAATAATGTAAGAACAATAATTTATGGAGTATATATAATTAAAACTAAATGCTAATGATGTTAAAAATGTGCTTTTATAGTAATAATACTTAGCAGTTAAAGGGGGCTTACCAGGTGCTTTAACATGTACTGTCTTTAACTGGTACTAATATTGTACTCATTTTACAGATAAGAGACTGAAGTATGGAGGTTTTTAGTTATTTGCTCCTAAAAAGAGTTGAGTCAGGATTTTAACCTAATTTATTTGATTCTGGAACCTATATCTTTAAAAAAGTTGTGGTAAGAAACACACAACATAAAATTATCATTTTAACCATTTTAAGTCTACAGTTTGGCCGTGTTAAGTAGTGTGCAACAGATTTTCAGAATTTTTCATTTTGTAAAACTAAAACTCTATAGCCATTAAACAACAATTCCTCATTTTTCCTTCTTTTGAGCCCCAGGTAGCCACCATTTTACGTTCTATTTCTATGACTTTGACAGCTTTAGATACTTCATGTAAGTGGAATCATACACTATTTGTTTTTTTTGTGACTGAGCATTTCAGTTAACATATTATCAGAATTCATCCATGTTATAGCATGTGACAGCACTTCATTCCTAAGGCTGAATACGCTTCCATTACATGTATATACCACATTTTATTTATCCATTCATCTGTTCAGATATTTGAGTTGCTTTCACTCCATGGCTATTGTGAACATTGCTGCTATGAACATGGGTGTGCAGATATGTCGTTGAGGCCCTACTCTCAATTCTTTTAGCTATCTTCCCAGAAGTGGGGTTGCTGGATCATATGGTTGTTCTATTTTTAATTTTGAAGAACTGGCATACTGTTTTCCATAGCATTTGCATCATTTTATATTCCCAGCAATAGTACACAAGAAGAACTCACAGTTCTAAACACAAAACTATACTGCCTCCTTTTAAATAAACTTTTTCAAAGTTGATCTTGACTTGGTTTCTAGTTTTCAGACTTTTTTTTCTTTTCTCTCCATAGGGTTAGACACAACTTGGGAATTTCATCACTTTTATGTTGCAAACATTCCCCAAGGTTACTTCATGTTTTTGGTAACTTCTTTACAAGCTTACCCTGATAGAGAGGGAGGAATCCTTAATGTTGCTGGTGTTGATGGAGAACTGCACCAGGCCGTGCTCATCAGTGGTGGCATTGGAGTAATAGTTAGCAGCATTTGCTGTGATGAAGATGAGTTCATTTGGTATGGGGACACCTTTCCCATTCACTAGGCGCACCTGAAGATTAAAAGCTATGCATCAGTTATGTGGCTAATCCCCAACAGGCACCAAATCCATTTTATTAGAAATATTTATTGAGTGCATCCTACATGTTGAACATGGTTCCAAGCATTGAGACTATAGCAGTAAACAAAGTTCCTTCCACCATAGAGCTTACGGTTAGTAAGAGACAGATATTAAATAAACACATAACCAGTATACTCTTATTTAGTAGTAATCAGTCTTAAGAAGAAAAATAAAGCAGTGTTGTATGGGGCCAGGTGGATACTTGAAATATCAGGGAGAATGCTCTGTAAAACTATACATCTGAAACTAATACATTACTGAATGTATTAGTAATATATTACTAAAATATTACTAAAGTAATATTGAATGTAGACTATAATTAAAAAATTAAAAAATAAAGCAGTGTAAAAAGGTAGTGAGTGATGAGAATCATAATAGGGTGTACTGAAAAATGTATTCTGTGGATATTTTGGAAATGCTGTGTATCATATATTTTTCTTGAGGAGTCACAGAGCACAGGAGTCATAAAGTAATGAAAAATTTTAATCCATTAGCCAGATTTAATTGAGCTCCTCTTATTGTATGGCAGACAACTAACTTTCTGAGGATTAGTGTCCTAAAGTATAATAAGTGCACAAGTAAGCAACTAGTTTGGTGTGAACTTCTAGTTGTTTTATGTACGATATCTGCTTCTCAACACAGATTTTCAATCTTTTGGAGGTAAGGCAGATTTCATGAGGCATTTCCCATGGGAAAAATGTAAAATTGAGAAGCACACGGTATTAATAAAAACTTAAAGTAAAAAACCAAACCAAACCAGACTTTTGGCCAAGATGGAGGCAGAGGTAGACACACTGTGCCTCCTTGCACAACCAAAATAAGAACAACAAAAATTTAGAAATGAAAAACAACCAGTACTGACAGAAAATTGAACTCTATGAAAGTCCAACAACCAAGGAGTTAAAGAAGAAACATTCATCCAGACTGGTAGGAGAGGTGGAGTCTGGCAGCCAGGTGGAGAGTGCTCACGGCAAAGTGGCAGTGAGGGGACCCATCAAGGCAGTGGTTGTGGAGGGATGCAGCACACAAGGTGGCTGGTGGACTGGGCGCTCCCACATTCTCTCGCAGATAAACTGGGCAAAACTGGGGAGCAAGGCAGACTGCGCAACCCAGGGTCCCAGCGCAAGGAAATAAAGCCTCAAAACACTGATTGAAAACACCTGTGGGATTGAGGCAGCAAGAGAAACTCCCAGCCTCACAGGAGAGTTCATTGGAGAGATCCACAGGGTCCTAGAATGTACACAAACCCACCCACACAGGAATCAGCACCAGAAGGGCCCAGTTTGCTTGTGGGAAGTGGTGGAAGTGACTGAAATCCAGCAGAGAGTGAGCAAGTGCTAGTGTTCCCTCTCAGACCCCACCCCACATGTAGTGTCACAACCCAGACACTGGGTTGCCCCGCCCTGGTGAACACCTAAGGCTCTGCCCCTCACTATGTAACAGGCCTGTCAAAACAAACAAACAAAGGCCCAAATGAAAGAACAGATCAAAGCTCCAGAAAAAATACAACTAAGCGACTAAGAGATAGCCCACCTAGCAGATGCACAGTTCAAAGCACTGGTGATCAGGATGCTCACAAAATTGGTTGAATTTGGTCACAAATTAGATGAAAATATGAAGGCTACACTAAGTGAAATGAAGGAAAATATACAGGGAACCAATAGTGAATGGAAGAAAGCTGGGACTCAAATCAATGGAGTGGACCAGAAGGAAGAAAGAAACAACCAAACAGAAAAGAATGAAGAAATAAGAATTCAAAAAAACAAAACAAAAGGAGGTTGCTTAGGAACCTCCAGGACATCTTTAAATGTTCCGACATCCAAATTATAGGGGTACCAGAAGGAGAAGAGGAAGAGCATCAAGTGGAAAAGTTATTTGAACAAATAATGAAGGAGAACTTCCCCAATCTGGCTAAGGAAATAGACTTTCAGGAAGTCCAGGAAGCTCAGAGAGTCCCAGAGAAGGTGGACCCAAGGAGGAACACACCAAGGCACATCATAATTACATTAGCCAAGATTAAAATGAAGGAGAGAATCCTAGAAGCAACAAGAGATAAGGGGACAGTTACCTACAAAGGAGTTCCCATCAGACTGTCAGCTGATTTCTCAAAAGAGACTTTATAGGCAAGAAGGGGCTGGCAGGAAGTATTCCAAGTCATGAAAGGCAAGAACCTACATCCCAGATTGCTCTATTCAGCAAAGCTTTCATTCAGAATGGAAGGGCAGATAAAGTACTTCTCAGATAAGGCCAAGTTAAAGGAGTTCATCATCACCAAGCCCTTATTTTATGAAATGTTAAAGGGACTTATCTAAGAAAAAGAAGATAAAAAATATGAACATTAAAAAAACCATCAAACTCACAGTAACAACCACACCTAAAACAAAAGCAAACTAAGCAAACAGCTAGAACAGGAACAGAATCACAGAAATGGAGATCACATGGAGGGTTAGCAACGGGGGAGTGGGAGGAGGAGAGAGGGGGAAAGGTACAGAGAATAAGTAGCATAGATGTTAGAAAATAGACAGGGGGAGGTTAAGAGTAGTATGGGAAATGTAGAAGCTAAAGAACTTATAAATATGACACATGGATATGAACTAAAGGGGGGGAATGTGGGTGGGAGAGGGTGTGCAGGGTGGAGGGGAAGAAGGGGGAAATGGGACAATTGTAATAGCATAATCAATAAACTATCTTTAAAAAAAACAAAACTTGGAAGAAAACCAAAAAAACTTAAAGTCACATTACTGCTAGTATTAAACTCAGCAGATGAAGTTTAAATGGTAAAGATTGTGATTCTTTTTCAGGATAAGCTACTTTTCACAGTAGAAAGAAGCAGAGCAGCAGACTGGGATCAGTGTTTGTAACTGATTAACAAAACCTTAGTTTGTCACTGAACTGTTGGCTGCATGCACAAAGATAAGGATAAGCACAAAGTTCTGACTTTTTCCTCTTGATGAGTTTTATGACTAATGGAATAGTTATTTAACAGGAATACATTATCAAAAGTATACAATGTACCTCTGAGAAATTTAAAAACATGGAATATACTCTCATTTTAGGATGTGACCAAAGTTTCTGACTTTGGTTTGCTGTCATAACATAATCAAAACATTCTAAAATGTACTCTACCACTCATTTGTTGAGTCTAGTCCCTCTGTCTTTTACACTTTCCACCACTGAAGTCTTATAGCATTTCCATTAAGAATATGATGCACAGTAATTATACACTGAGATACATGCAACCATTACCTCAGACTTTAGAGTCAGAAAGGTCCATTGCACATCTGTTTATAATAGAAAAATAACAATAGAAGATTTTTTTGTAGATCTGTGAGAAAATTTATATTTTTTAAAGCTGAGTACCTTAAATAACAGCATTTTACCTTTGTGTGTACTGTGTTTTGTAAAAGTACTTGCTATCATAGAAAGTACTATAAATATAATATCTATGAAAGGAATACCAGATGTGGTAGAATACTGTATGCCTTAAAGTAAAAATTAAAACCACCAACCCACTCACTTCCATGTGAAGTTAGTGTTATAAGATTATGTGGCCACCATGAATTTTGAGATTCCTGTGAGAAAATATCATAAAATTATAAGATTGTCTGGTAAATCATGAAAAGGACATTCAGTGATATCATACAATGCTTTTCCAAAAGTGAAAAAAAAAACTTTCTAATTTTGATAGTATTCTAGAATGACTTCATGGGTATCATATACAAATTTACAGAGGAGCAGATTCATTTTTATGTGGTTTTATACCTTTGCTTATATTAATCAACAGGTAACAATAATGAGGTATGGTTTTAGCAAATACGTTGTGCTCATTAAGTGATGGCTACCCAGGTTGATTTGTGAACTGAAAAATATCCCACCTGTCCAAAGAAGGGGATCCCTTGTCTAAAGTGTGGGTCCACTTTCACAAATGAGAGTTTGGATATGATTCTTGTTATTTCACTGGTCCCTTTTCCAGTAAACTCCACATCTGAAAAAAAAAGGAGAAAAAAAGTTTTTTGGAAGGATGATCTCCCTGAACTTCTTATACTCCCTCTCTCCTTTCAGTTTGTACATTGGCGAAGAGAATGAATCAGTGCCCATTGTCTTTTCTCCCTTGGGACACAAACCTGTTCCTTCTTCTCTGATCTTGGCTTCCACTTCAAGTTCCATGTTATACCCTTCCCTCTTCAACTGGAAGGCCTTGGTTTTTACTTGCTGGGAGAAGCAGCCCTCGTTGTTTAGCTAGGAGAGGGTAAAATCAAATACAATACCATAATACTAGACAGATTGGTGGTCAGTTAATCTGATGGGATTTTGGTGGGGATCAACAGAACCTAGGTATTTCCAATGAGATCAGGTATGTTCAGGGTGGTTTGGCAGTAAACAGAACCTAGGTATTTCCTATAAGAACACAGTATTTATTCTCTAGGGACTGGTTATTATCACATTTCACAACAGTATCTAGTTTATAATCGACAGGTATATTCCTTAGTTTTTGAGTGAATGTGGTAGAAATGTCTTAAAAATTTTGGGGTAATCTTACTATAACAGGCAGCTAACCCTTCATCAAAGTCTGGCTCTGCTTCCACTGTGGACAGCGATGGTTGGAAAGTGACAACCCATTTGGGGGCTGTGTTTCCTACCTTCCTGGCACCTATGTGAGGCCACATGACAAGTTCTTGCTCATAGAGTAAAACTGACACTCTTCCCAGCGAAGGTGGTTAAGAGGTACATGTTTTTTTTTCTCCTTTCTTCATACAAGTGGATGCCAAAGATGGCTTGGATGCCAGGTATTGGAGCTGGCTCAGCTTCCACCTTTCTGTGTGGCTGGTGCACCAAGAACACCCACAATGGAAAATTGTAAGAAATAAATAATTCCTATTGTGGTAATTCACCTATTTTTAAAACAATTATAGCTAGCATAAAATTCTTTTATAAATCGCTGTCTTCCTGAATTAGCACCATGTTGTAACTCACTGCTTACTGACAGCACCTTAGGTGTTAGTAGTTTCTAGAAGCGTTTTCCACCTACCTTTTGACTGAATTTCTCACAGACAGCCTGTGACTCTCCACCATAGCAGCTAGAAGAATGACTATACTTTCTGCACATGCTCACAGTCACATGTCCGGGGACTGGTTTCCCATATGTGTATCTGTTATAAGACATTGTCAAATTAATCAAAACAAACATTGAACATACACATTTTCCATGTATTTATGTTTTCTCTTTTAGCTACAGTATATTTACTTCCTGCACTTTCCCTCTTCAGGGCTCAAACAGTGTTGAGCACAGGTAAGGAATGACCTTTTTCTTCTAGAATTCTTCAGTCTTTTTAAAACATATTTTTCTTAATTTTTACTTTTCAGTTTTATCTTTAAACGCTACCTTTTGTACTACCACCCATTCTTACAAGAAAAACCAACACCAATAAGACAAAACAGAGGGAAGGAACAAACACCCTCAATTCTATCTAGGAATACAAACTATTAATATGATGGTGTCTCTCCTTTTATCATCCTTTCCCCACGTGTACCCATTTTGGTTTACACAGGATTTTACTTGCTTACATTTTACAAAAAAATGGGATTGTGCCCTAAATATATCATTGATAATTGCTGTGTTTTCCAAAGTATTTGTTGCTCCTATTTAAAATTTCATCTATATTTCTCTTTGTAAAAGCACTGGCTCACAAGGTATGTAGCACCAGGACCTTGGTGGCCATTACTCTGAGACAGTGCTAGGGCAGGGACCCAGTTGAATAGTCAATTACAATTGGATTACATAAGCAGGACTGGCTATATCACTGTCTGCTTTTTTTGCTTGTGCTACTGCTGGGCTACTGAAGATAGGAGCATAAGCTCCTGGAAACACAAATTTTCAAAGTTGGAAAGGACCATATTGAGAGAGGTATGTAACATGCCTTAGGCAGACTGATGAGTTAGATGAGATTTTGGTATGTCTACCTCAACAAATTCTGAATCTACGTTATTTTTGTACCATGTGTGTAGGGTCAGGTAAATAATGTTAGTGACTGAATTTCCTCTATAATCCAATAGAGCCAAAGGAAAGCCACTACCCTTTGATACCCTCCTATTTGGGTATGTGTGTGCATGTGCATGCACACATACAGCTCTGTTACTTCCAGAACCCTAGCAGGATAGTTTCTCCAGGAACAGTTGCCTGTGCCATGAGTTGTAATAATGCTGGTAGGACTAGGAAAGAAAATCAGAAGGAAAAATAGGAAAACAATAATAGAGGAAAGTTCTAGAGATGGGATTCTCTCATTTATTGAAAGGATTTGTGCTGCCACTTTTCCTAGAGAAACTAGCCAAATGGTGAGTCTTTTAAAGATAATTCCCCTCCAAAGACTAAAAAAGTATAAACTCACATGCCACACACTGACACATCCACCACTTCTTCTAAAATAGTGATTATCCTTGGCATTTTTACTTGCACTTCAAACTTAGGAAGCACTGTTGATTAGAGATAAACGAAGTTTGAAATTAGTTTTCAAATTTGGGGAAATTAGTATTTTCAGTATTTTCATGTTATCTGTAGTAATTCCCTAATAGTATTTTAGGCCACTGAACAGGCAACTCTCTTCTCTAATATTCCTATCTTTTCTTCAAATGGAGACTGCTTGAAGGACTATGATAGATCACTGCAACCTTAATGAACTAGGGAAAATTCTACTAAAACAGGGAGAATATACATTTTTTGAGATTAAAAATTGCTGTACAAATAATTAAGTTATAGGATGTCCTATTCACTAATCATTGTCCTCACTGGAGTTTGGTATGTAATTGGTTCTACTCCAAGCCCAATCTTACTCAGGGGAAATGAAAAGATTCCAAATAAGCTCAAATTCTACACCCTGGAAATTTAAATATGAAGAAAAATGTTCCATGACTTTCCACAATCCATACCAAATTCCTCCACGGTGAAGGGGTGCTCTGTTATTTCTCCTGAGTCCTTCTGTACCACCACCTTGTAGGAGCCCTGAAATGGCTCTGATGAGAGGGGAAAGGTCAGTTGCTTGAGGCCACTCTCTAACTTGAGTTTCTGCCATTGTGCGATGCGATTTCCTTTAGGGTTCTATAGATAATGTAATTGAAACTTACAAAGGGGCTCAGAGCATTAGCGACAATATAAGAAATCTATGAAAACTCCTATGTTACTCAGAGAGGAAAATGGGGTGGTGATAATGAGAGGAAAGGGGAGATGAGTTAGAACCATCTGAGCTCTATGAGTTTGAAGGCTTCTCCCTTAATGACAAGTTTCTGGGGTATGGTAAGAATCTCTCAGATAAGAACATTTTCCCTAAATTGATTACTTTACATGTAATTATGGAATGTTTCATTTTGCTTACCTTAATGTATACTAGTGGAATCTGAAAGACGAAAGAGAAAGAAAGCAGTTTAGAATTGTTCACAAATATTCTCATCTTTGATTTATAAGCATGACAGTTTTATATAAAACACACAAAAATGATAGGTTTTTACAGAACTTTTCATTAATCATCATAAGCATTTAATAAATAATGGTAAGAATTTAATTGGCTACATTCATCAGGAGTGGGGTTTACTGACATTACTTAAATATGTATACCATCCCAGTGAGGAACACTCTTTTGCCCTGAACTTTTATAGGCTGAGAAATAAAATACTAATGGAACTATAAGTAATCATGGTCAGACCTGAGTATTAAGATGGGTAGTTCTAAGAATAATGGGGGATGGAAATAGCTCCTCCACTATCAGTGGTTATTCATTACTAAAAAGTAATATTTATTAAGTGCCTACCATGTGCTGTGTGTCATTCTCAGTTCTGGGAACAATAGCAATGCACAAAAGAACACTGTATCTGCTTCCCTAGAGCTTACCTTCCAATAAGGAATCCATACATAAGAAACACACACATACATGCATATAAGTATACATATAGTTGAGATTTATATTTTATATATATATTTGAGATATATATGTTTGACATGTATTTGATATGTCTATATATTTGAAATCTATATCTACATCTTTATCTATGTCTATATCTATAAATATCAGGTAGTTTAAGGATCGGGATATAAAAATAAAGTAGGGTTAAGCTGATAGAGTAATGGATGAGGTGTTTAATGCTAAATAGAGAAGCAAAAGTAAAAACCTAGACCAGTTTCAAGGCTTATTTAGAGGTGATGTTGGCCAGGAAGAGGTTGTAGCATGAAGACGGAAAGAAGTAGTCTGGACACATTTTAAGCTAACATGATTTTCTGATGAAGTAGAATTATGCCAGAACTTTTTGCCTTAGGGACTGAAGAAAAAAAATTGCCTCTTTTTGTGATAGAAAAATGTGGAAGAATAGATCTGGGGGAAGAAATTAAGACTTTGGTTTGATATTTTCATTAAAATTAAAATAGCTCTTTTTCATCATAAATAGCAAGTGTTAATCTTTTTTTTTAAAGATTTTATTTATTTATTTTTAGAGAGGGAAGGGAGGGAGAAAGAGAGAGAGAGAAACATCAATGTGCGGTTGCTGGGGGTCATGTCCTGCAACCCAGGCATGTACCCTGGCTGGGAATCGAACCTGTGACACTTTGGTTTGCAGCCTGAGCTCAAACCACTGAGCTACGCCAGCCAAGGCTGCAAGTGTTAATCTTAAGGAAAAATATTGATTTCATTCATCTTCCTTTCTAAAAGAGGTTTTGGTAGGTATGTTTGGCAAAATTCTACATCTTTGAGGAGTTATTTGAACTTAATTTATTTGAGGATTTAGGTGTATGTTATCTAATACATCTTTCTAATTTACTTAATTGATAACTTTCTAAAGAATAAGCTTAAGTGGGTGACAATTGCCTGAGTATCAGTACAAAGGCAGAAAGACTTCACTGTTCTCTTGACTGCAGTTACTGTTTAACATAAGGCTCTTACATTCCCAAAACACCAATAAAATAATATATATGTATATATATATATATGAATATATACATAATGAGAGAGTGTGTGTGTGTGTATGTGTGTGTGTGTGTGTGTGTGTGTATATATATATATATATATACACCAGTGCTATTTACTATAGTCAAGATTTGGAAACAGCCTAAGCACCCATCAGTGCATGAGTGGATAAAAAAGCTGTAATACATCTACATAATGGAACATCATGCAGCAGTAAAACAGATATAACTCTCACATTTTGCAACAGCATGGATGGACTTGGAGAAAATTATGCTAAGTGAATTAAGCCAATCAGTGAAAGAAAAATACCACATGATCTCACTTTTATGTGGAATCTGCTGAATACAATAAACTAATAAACAATATAGTAACAGAAGCTTAGATACATAGAATGGACTGACAGCTGAGGGAAAGGGTGGGGGGAAGGGGTGAAAGGTGGTGAAAGGGTTAACCAAAGAACCTTTATGCACAACTCACGGACATGGACAACAATGTGGGGATTGGCTGGGGGTGGAATGAGGGTAGGTTTGGGTGAGGGAGGGAAAGGGGAGGAAAGTGGGAACAACTGCAATAGCTTAAACAACAACAACAACAATAATAATATTAATAATAATAAAGGATAACAAAATTTAAAAAAATAAAATAAGGATCTTACATTATTGTAATGCCAGAAATTACTGTTATTGACACCAGATTCTTTCTTTCCCTGGTCCTCCCCCAACACCAAAAACAGGCTTCCCGCCAGGTGACACAGATCATAATGATTCTGTGTAGATATTAGGAGACTCACCAACTCATTCAGGGGGTGAAAATTTTCATCCAATGAGACGACACGAAACTTTACTGAAACAGAAATATTTTCCATCAGTCCCAAAAATCTTAAACCAGGCTTATTGGTTGGTAAGAAAAGTTATTAAGGAGCCAGAATTACAGGGATTTAGACTGAGGAATATGTAGGGGAGAATCTCTCCTCTTTGAAGTTGCCCTGACTGTAGGCTTCTTTGTACCTGTCTGCCCGGGTTTGTAGATGGGTTTGTCTGTCTGGACAAAGACCAGGCTGTCTTGGTTTTTAACCATCACTGTGGTCCGTCTCCTGAATTCTTGGGTTGCTCCTTTCACTTGGACAGTGAGAAACATAACCTCTTCAGAGGATGAAGACCTTGGGACCTGAAATACAGAAGAGATCCCAAGAGCTCATTCAGTCTTCCATGTTTCCTCCCCCATCCCTGTTCCACTCCTCCCTGGAGATCTTGCCTCTTTTACTCAACTTCACTCCCTAATTCTTATCATGAAAAATTGGTATGGGTAGGAATTACTTCTGTCATTGTACCAGTAGGGAGACAGAACACAAGATGGAGGAAAACACATCAGTAAGAAAGGTCAACGAGAATCACATCATCTTATGGATCAGTTATACACTGAACTTCAATTATACACTGAACTTTGCCAAGCTTTTTTTTTTTTAATGTACCAAAAGGGCATCATAGGAGCATTTTAAGGTTGTGAGAAAGAAAAACACACTATTTTATTGCTATAGGTTATAAGCATTTTACATATGGACAACACTGAAGAGCTATTGGATATTTGCTCATGGTAATTTCTACAACTTTCACTCTTAGAAAGAATATGGGGTAATATCTTCCTGTCAGCCCACTACTGGGAGCTTATGTTGTGTATTGGCCTTGTTTGCGTTATTTTTGCATTTGATTTTAAGAAGAGGTCACATTTTCCCTTTGTCTGGGGCATACTGCTTTTTTTCCCGCAAGCTAATAGGAATTTTTTTGATCATTAAGTTAATTCTTAATATGCTTATAAATATTTGCCTTCCACAGTTCGAAATTGCTGCATTCCCTTTTAATTTCTACTACATTTAGATTTCTTTCCAAAGTCCTTGCCAGCCTTTAAAGCCTTATCTTGACTGAATTCTGGATCCCTGAGGCCCTGAACTGAATTCTGGATCCCTATGGCCCTGACCAATAGAACCAAGTATATTAAGTCAAACAGTCATACTCACAGTGAAGGAGACACAGTGGAATAAGTCCTTCTCTGCCACCAGGTCTGTGAAGAGGCTCCTGTTCCCTCTGAGAGACTCCAAGGAAGCACTTACAGTCACTGTCTCATTCAGGTGGCTCAGAAGGAGACAGCCCTTCTCAGGGGTCTCAGTGTGGAGCAGAGAGGGCACCAGCACCATATACTGCCTGGAAATGGGAAGTCCAGTTAGAGGAGAGTGTACAAAGAGAGGCACTGTTATCAGAAGCACTATTTTCTATAAAAATTATTCATACTATCATTCGTTCCATACCAAGAGAAGATATATTGATAAGCATAAAATTAATCTTTGCTGTTGAATAGTGTGTATGAAAATTATTCCTCTGTCATCACCAGTGCCATAGCAGTGAACACTTTGCTTGAAGTGAGACTTAAACAGATTAAAATCTGCAGGTTTACCTTACTTTAAGAAACCCCAAAATGAACTTCCAGCCAAGATGGAGGCATAGGTAGATATACTGTGCCTCCTTGCACAACCAAAAGCAGGACAACAACAAATTTGAAAACAAAAAACAACCAGAACTGCCAGAAAATTGAACTGTATGGAAGTCTGACAAACAAGGAGGTAAAGAAGAAACATTCATCTAAACTAGTGGCAGGGGTGAAGATGGGCAGCCTGGCAGAGAGGACTCCTGGTAAGGTGGCAGCTGGAAGACTGGGGTGGGTGGTGGCTGGCTGGAGTGGGCAGTCCCACATTTGTGTGTGGATAAATGAGGAGGAACAACTGAGGGGCAAGACAGACTGAGCAACCCAGGATTCCAGTGTGGGGAAATAAAGCCTCAAAACCTCTGAAATAACCTGTGGGTATTGCAGCAGCAGGAGAAACTCCCAGCCTCATAGGAGAGTTTGTTGGAGAGACCCACAGGGTTACAGAACATACACAAACCCACTCACCTGGGAATCAACACCAGAAGGGCCCAATATGCTTGTGGGTAGCAGAGCAGGTGACTGAAAGCCAGCAAAGAGCTGAGCAAGTGTCATTGTTCCCTCTTGGACCCCTCCCCAACACAGAGCCACAACACAGAGATGTGGGTTGCCTTGCCCTGGTGAATACCTAAGGCTCCACCCCTTACTATGTAACAAGCATGTGGAGACAAAAAAAATATGGCCCAAATGAGAGAACAGATCAAAGCCCCAGAAAAAATACAACTAAGCGATGAAGAGATAGCCAACCTATCAGAAGCAGAGTTCAAAACTCTGGTAATCAGAATGCTGACAGAATTGGTTGAGTATGGTCGTAAAATAGAGGAAGTGAAGGCTATGAAAAGTGAAATAAAGGAAAACACACAGGGAACCAACAGTGATGAGAAGGAAACCAGGACTCAAGCCAACAGTTTGGACCAGAAGGAAGAAAGAAACATTCAACCAGAACAGAATGAAGAAACGAGAACTCAAAAAAAGAAGGAGAGGCTTAGGAACCTCCAGGACAACTTTAAGTGTTCCAATAACTGAATCAGAGGTGCCAGAAGGAGAAGAAGAAGAGCAACAAATTGGAAACTTATTTGGAAAAATAATGAAGAAGAACTTCCCCAATCTGGCAAAGGAAATAGACTTCCAGGAAATCCAGAAAGCTCAGACAGTCCCAAAGAAGCTGGACCCAAGAAAGCACACACCAAAGCACATCATAATCACATTATCCAAGATTAAAGAAAAGAAGAGAATCTTAAAAGCAGCAAGAGAAAAGGAGACAGTTACCTACAAAATAGTTCTCATAAGACCATCAGCTGATTTCTCAAAAGAAACCTTACAGTCAAGAAAAGGCTGGAAAGAAGTAGTGTTCCAAGTCATGAAAGGCAAGGACCTACTTACTTCCAAGATTACTCTATCCAAGATGGCTAGCATTTAGAATGAAAGGGTAGATAAAATGCTTCCCAGATAAGGTCAAGTTAAAGGAGGTCATCATCACCAAGCCATTATTATATGAAATGTTAAAGGGACTTATCTAAGAAAAAGAAGAAGATAAAAAAATATGACCAGTACAATGAAAACAAACTCACAACTATCAACAACTGAACCTAAAAAACAAAACAAAACAAACGAACAAGGCAAACAACTAGAACAGGAACAGAATCAGAAATGGAGATCATGTGGAGGGTTATTGTCAGGGAGCTGGAGCAGGGAGGATGGGGGAAAAGGTACAGGGAATAAGAAGCATAAATGGTAGGTATAAAATAGACAGGGGGAGGTTACTTTAAGAAACTCCAAAATAAACTTTCCTAGTATAGGAAATGGAGAAGCTAAAGAACTTATGTGTATGACTCGTGGACATGAACCAAGGGGGCAGGGAATTCGAGTGGGAGGGTGTGTGCAGGGTAGAGGGGAATAAAGGGGGGGATGGGACAACTGTAACAGTATAGTCAATAAAAATATTTAAAAGAAAAAAATAAAAAGAAAAAAAGAAACTCTAAAATGTAAGTACCTGAATTCAAATTAAAAGTATGCTAATTATATGTTGTATGTTATAAATCTATTTTACATTAAGATTGCTGTAGAAAGCATGTAAAGTCTCAGGTGAGATACTGAGAAAATCAATTTATAGAACTTTCATTGAATATCTATATATTTAATCTATATCATACCTGTGTGTGTATATACATACATATACATATATTCAACAAATCTGAGCAAATGGCATGGAAAGCATTTACTTTCCACTTTACAGATGTGGAATCTGAGACTTAAGGCAAGTGAGTCATTGGTTTAAAGTCTCAGTTGTGGTAAACAACTAATGAAGTCTTAGTGTGTTACCTAACCCTGAATGTTTGCATTTTAAATATTTGCTTTTTAATTCCTGGCTAGACAATGACTCCACTCAGAAATAGTCTTCTAGTGATTGAATTTTGGGTCTTGGTAACTAGTCAGCAAAGTAGAAACATTTTCAATACCCTTATATATACCTTTACTGACCCTGTAGTTTTCAAACATTTTTTTATTGAGTTTATTGGGGTGATATTGGTTAACAAAACCATGCAGGTTTCAAGTGTAGAATTCAACAAAACATCTGCCACTGCATCATGCACCCATTGCCCAAAGTGAAGTTGCTTCTCATCCCCATTTATTCCCCCTTTGCCATCTTCTGCATCCCTCCAACTCCCTTCCCTCTGGCTATCACCACACCGTTGTCCATAAGTCCTTCTTCCTTTTTGCTCAATCCCTCTACACCCTAACCTCCCCACTGTCCCCCCCAGCTGTCATCTATTCTCCATCTATGAAGGTATATAAATTTAACTTTAACTCTTCTTTTAAATTTAATGTGATGATAACCATGGTTCATGTGGCTCAGTGGATTGAGTGCTAGGCTGTGAACCAAAGGGTTGAAAGTTCAATTCCTGGTCAGGGCACATGCCTAGGTTAGAGGCCAGGTCCCCAGTTGGGGGCATGTGAGAGGCATCCAACTGATGTTTCCATCCCTCTCTTTCTCCCTCCCTTCCCCTCTCTCTAAAAATAAATAAATAAAATCTTTAAAAAATTTTAATGTGACCATAAAGTTACAAATGTTGAACATTTTCTTCTGGTTTCAGTTATTTTCAAAAGTCTTATTCATATACAACTGACCAAAACAAAATAAATATATTTCAAATTATAATACATATGCATTAGATACAAAATCAAAATTCTTTTGAAGCACATCTTTAAATGAATGATGCACTTTTTTGTATGTCAATGGGTGGCTATTTCCTATTGCAAGAATTAAACAAGGTCTATCATTATATTTTTGATTGTATAGATTTAACTGCCATGAAAATTTATTCACATAAAAGTGACAAATGAAACAATTATATATCATTATTATTAATTTTTGTAATTTGTAATTAATGTGCTAGAAATCACCTAGTGCTCTATTATCAAGAATTACCAGCTATTAGCTGGTATTTTCTTTAGATCTTCCTTCAATTTTCTTGAAACAAAATAATTTGTCACTACATGATTTGCAAAAGGATTTTCTGCCTTGTTCTTAGAATTCATTGTTTTCTCAACATCAATATCAACATCAGTATTTTAAATTATTCCTTTCTTTGGCATCGTAAAGATATTTATACTCCAGGAATTCTGGCCAAGATGTAAGCGTAGGTGGAAACCCTTTGCTTCCTTGCACCACCAAAAGGAGGATAACAACCAATCTAAAATCAATAAGCAACCAGAAGTGCCAGAAAATCAAACTGCATGGAATTCCAACAATGGAATTAAAGAAACAGTCAAAAAGAATATCCAGACTGGTAAATCAGCCAATGGAGAGACCCTTGGTGAGGCGGTGGACCGTGCGAGCAGGGGCTGGCTGCAGCATGGTGGCAGGCTGTGCGGGTGGGGATGACTTAAGGGGAAACTAAGGCTCAGAGGTGGCTGTGGGCTATGGCAGTTGCCTCAGTGGGAGAAACTCCCAGTCTCACATGACAGTCTGGTGGAAAGTGGGGCTAGAGTCCAGCAGGGGAGTCACATTGTTCCCTCTCTGGCCCCTCCCCAACAGGCAACGCCAGAGCACAGCAAGGAGGTTTGCCCTGTCTGCGTGAATACCTAAGGCCCTGCCCTCTTACAATTTACCAGGAGCCCCAAACGAAGAAATAGGGCCAAAATGAAAGAACAGAGCAAAACCTCAGAAAGAGAGCTAAGCAAGGAGGGTATAGCCAACCTATCTGTTGGAGAATTTAAAGCCCTGGTAATCAAAATGCTCACAGAACTGATTGAGCTTGGTCAAAAAAATGAAAGAACAAATAAAAAATACCCAAAATGAAATAAGGCAAGATATTCAGGGAACCAACAGTGACAGGAAGGAAACCAGGACTCAAATCAATGATTAGGAACAAAAGAAAGAAAGAAACATCCAATTGGAATAGAAAGAAGAAACAAGAATGCAAAAAAGTGAAGAGAGTCTTACAGACCTCTGGGACAATCTGAAGCATTCCAATATCCGAATTATAGAGGTGCCAGAAGGAGAAGAACAATAGCAAGAAATTGCAAACTTATTTGAACAAATAATGAAGGAAATCTTTCCCAATCTGGCAAAGGAAATAGACTTTCAGGAAGTCCAGGAAGCCCAGAGAATCCCAAAGAAGTTGGACCCAAAGAGGAACATGCCAAGGCACATCATCATTAAGTTACTAAGATTAAAGACAAAGAGAGAATCTTAAAAGCAGCAAGAAGAAAGGAAAGAGTTACCTACAAAGGTGTTCCCATAAGGTTATCAGCTGATTTCTCAAAAGAAACCTTACAGATCAGGAGGGGCTAGAAAGAAGTATTTGAAGTCATGAAAGGCAAGGACCTACATCCAAGAATACTCTATGCAGCAAAACTATCATTTAGAATGGAAGGGCAGGTAAACTGCAGGATAAGGTCAAGTTAAAGGAGGTCATCATCATCAAGCCATTACTGTATGAAATGTTAAAGGGACTTATCTAAGAAAAGGAAGATAAAAAATATGAACAGTAGAATGACAACAAATTCACAACTATCAACAAATGAACCTAAAAAAATAAAAGAAAGTAAAACAACAAAAACAAAAACTAAGCAAACAAACAACTAGAACAGGAACAGAATCAGAGAAATGGACATCACATGGAGGGATTTCAGTGGGGAGGGGGAAGGGAGGAATAGTGGGGAAAAGGTACAGGGAAGAAGAAGCATAATTGGTAGGCATTAAATAGATGGGGAGAGGTCAAGAATGGTATAGGAAACAGAGAATTCAAAGAACTTATATGTACAACCCATGGACATGAACTAAGGTGGGGGTGCTAGAGGGTTGGGGGTGCAGGGTAGAGGGGGGATAAAGGGGGGAAAGTTGGGAAAACTGTAATAGCATAATCAATAAAATATAATTTAAAAAGATATTTATACTCCAGACAATGCTCCATGGTAACATCTGATTAAGAGAGAGGTTTTTCTTTCTCTTATAAAGTGGAAGATGGGCAATTAAGACAGGGGAAGTAAGAAAGGATAAATACCATGGTCTCAAGCAGATCGGTATGAATGTGAGAATCTGAAAATTGATTCCTTTAAAAGTATCCATTTTTAATGCCCATTAGAAAGTCTTAATATATCCCCCAGATAATTTAGACATCCAGAGATCCAGAGAATTTAAGAAAAATGGTTAAGAATAAGTAAAGAATGAATAAATCAGATTTATGAAATCTCAACTGGAAGAGACCTTAGATATAAGAAGATGGCAGTTTCATAGAGAAGATGAATGATATAATGGGGAATCTGAAATAAAGGAAAAGATTCTTTTTCATAACTCTTAAAAATGTATTTTAATAAAGCAAGCAAAAATTTAAAACAGTTATATAAGTGGTTACTCTGCAGACTATTTCAATTCAAAGCAGAAAAAAAACTAAGGAAAGGAGTCTTTAAGTTTATGTTCTATGGGAAACTTACGGTTGTCCAGAGACTGAGGCATCTGTAGGCAGGAAGACCAGAAGGAGAAGAGTAAGACTTGGATGGAGTTTGTTCTTCCCCATGCTGCAGGGAGAAGGGGCTGGAGGAAACCAGACCGTATCACACCCGAATCCCTGCTGCTGGTCTCGGACCAAGCATTCCTCAGAGCAACTAAGCTTTATGCTGCTTCTCTGAGCAAACAGGAAGTTCCTCCCATGCCAGGTGTCTAAACAAAGTTGAGGTCTTTGAACATTCTCTGGAAAGATCATTGCTCTCAGGGGCCTAATTACGGTCAAGGTTAATTCCTGGTGGGCCAAACTGTCAGGCTAAATAGAATTCCTGGAGGGATAAAATCCACATTCCTGTAAGTACTCACTTTCTCTGGGTTTTACTGTAGAGCAGCTAATCGGCTTTTAAACCCCTTTTCTCTCTTACTTCTGCCTTCCACTTCCCCATGGCACATTTTATGGCTTTCCTTACATCTTTTGCATGAATAGTTGGTAAGGGAAGATACAATTTAAATGATACTAGACAGGTTCAAATAGATATTTTACTGTGAGCCTGCAAGTTTTCCCTTAGATATGCCTGCCTTAAAGGCTGAAGTGGTTTCAGAATTCAGTGGTCTTCTATGGAAATGATACTGGACTAAGCTAATAGGTTTTTGACCTTAAGGATATCACTGGATTGCAGATGAAGAGTCAGTCCCTGGAAGAATGATAATTGAAAACATTTTCCTGTATTAAAAAATCGAACAGACGAAAGGAGAAGCAGCAGACCTCAACAAGCTTTGACCTACTGTGCCTCACAAAGAGCCCAGTTGCCTTTACCATCTACTATACAAATTTTGTTACTGACTTTGAAACATGCTGCTCCTTATCAGTCTTTGATCATATAAACTATTTCCTCGATCTCTCCATCCATTTCTTTATTCAACTATTGGACTTATTTTATTTCATTTTAAAAATATTTGGTTTATTTATTTTTAGAGAGCGGGGGAAGGAGGGAGAGAAACATGGATTGGTTGCCTCTCACACACCTCCAACTGGTGACCTGTTGTGCCACCCAGGCGTGTGCTGTGACTGGGAACAGGCAACCTTTCAGTCCATAGGCCAGCGCTGAATCCATTGAGCCACATCAGCCAGGTTTTTTAAATAAGTATTTTAGAGCCTAGTAGGGCTAGGTATCATGTGAAATCATGGAGATAGAATGTGAATTGGTACAATTATATAGGTGAGAGATGAGAGTATTTTGAACTAGGGTATTCATAATAAGTTTGAAAAGAGGTTGACAACTGTATATTATATATAAAGGTAACATTATATTTACCATGAATATATGGATTTGCTGGATAAAGGAGAATGTGGTTTTCAATTTTCCTGCTTGTTTACTGAGTGAATTGTGTTGTCTTTCACTGAGTGAGCGAAACAGAGGAAATACAGGATGGGAACAAAAGGACAGAAGGGCTGAGGGTTAGAAAGATAAAGGGTCTAGTTTTAGAAACTCTTTGTGGGATATTCAAGAATTAATATTCATACAGAATATATCATTTTCATTTAGAATTTAAAGCAGTGTTGTCTAATATAAATATATGTGAGCCTCCTATGTGACTACTTTTTCTAGTAGCCACATTAAACAAACAAAAGAAACAGAATAATTTTAACATTCTGTTTTACTTAGCATATCCAAAATATTATCATTTCAACCTTTAGTCAATATAAAAGTTATTAATGAGATACTTTACTTTTTTTTTGTACCAAGTCTTTGAAATTTGGTGTGGATTTTATACTTACAACACATCAATTTAGACTAGCCACATTGTAAGCACCTAATTAATTGCCCCTGTGGCTACTGGTCACCATATTTGACATAATCAGCCTAGAGCAATGTTTTTCAAATTATAGGTCACCATTAATCACTCACTATAGTGAGTTATGATATCATGATCAGTGAGTCATGACCAAGATTTTAAAAAATGAAATAGAATATAATAAAATAGAAAATATAGTGTATCAAAAAGAGTAAGTGAAAATATTGAGTTTTGGAAACATCTGTTTCACATAATTTTAGCAGGAACTGCTGGGTGTATCCTCTTACCTCTTTTCCAACTTGATTTTTGATAATAGAACTGAGTTTTAGCAGGGCACAGCATGTCTTTTATTTCCCTCTGGAAGGGGTACGGCTGCGTTCTGGTGTCTGGACTATAAGTACAAGTGATGTATGCAGCTTTCCATTCATGACTTAAAAAGGAAGGGTTAGAATTTGTGCTACCCCTTTCTCCCTTAACCCTGGCTTGAGTGTGGACACAATGGCTGTGTAAGATCTTCTGCCAGGGACCATAAGATGGGAGCCATGTGACAAGGAAGGCAAAATGACAAGCAAGACACAGCCTCGGTCCCTGAATCATCTAGACTGCACTTTCCTTTAAGAGAAAAGGGAATTCTCTTATTTAAGCCACTGCATTTTTGAGATCTCTTTGTTGAAGCAGTAAACTGTATCTTAACTTGTATCTAAGCAGTAACTTGTATCTTAACTAATAAAATTTCTCTTTCTTTATCAATTTTTCTGTCTTGATCATCTATATTCTTAACTATGAATATCCTAAGTTATAATGTACAAAATTTACATTGTGAAAATGTGATTACAGAATGTACAAAATTCTTATTGTAGGTTAGATTTAAAGCAATATGAGCACTACCAGTTTACAGAGTTCTGGCCTACTTATATGGATTAAAGATTTATCGGCTTATTGAGAAAGCTGATGCTATTGAAATAGATGCTAACACCCTGGTGGGATATGTTGATGAAAAAGAAAGAGCCCAAGGCAGAGCCCTGGGGGATACTAGTGTCTAGGTGATGGACAGGGGAACACATATGGAACAAGAAGGGACAGAGATAGAAGGGAGCAATGACCACGAAAGCAGAGATCTGTTAGTACCAAAGAAGGGACAGTTAAGAAAAAATAGTCAAGAGAATATTTTTACTAGTCATAATGATTGGGGCTTTAGCCAAGACATCAATGTTAATAGCATACAATATAAAAAAAATCATTTCAAAAGTTTTCATGATTTTTCAATGTGTTGATTCAAAATATAGCAGAACTTAAATCAACTTTTAAGAAACTAGAAAGCCCTGGCTGGCGTAGTTCAGTGGATTGAGCACGGGCTGCGAACCAAAGTGTCGCAGGTTCTATTCCCAGCCAGGGCATATGCCTGGGTTGCAGGCCATAACCCCCAGCAACCGCACATTGATGTTTTTTTCTCTCTCTCTCTCTATCTCCCTCCCTTCCCTCTCTAAAAATAAATAAATAAAATCTTAAAAAAAAAAGAAACTAGAAATAGTTAAACACTAATTTGTAAGACTAATTACTTAAAGTAGGAGGGGGACAATAACATTAATAGCATTCAGTCAGTGCCTTGTGATGAATTACAAAGATAATCTGTAAATATTATCATGGATAGCAATGCTTGTGGGATGAATTTATACTGTGACTTTGCTGTGTCAGAGTATAAGCATTTAAAACTTTTTATAGGTACGGTCACATTGCCTTTTAAAAATGACCCTGCCAGTTATCTTCTATCAACAAGACTAATCCTCTTAGTGACGTTGAATACCTTTGCATATAGCTATTGGCTATTTGTATGTCATTTTTGTTTTTGAGAAATGTCTGTTCAGATCCTTTTCACATTTTAAAATCAGATTATTTGCTGTTTTTTTCCTTTTGAGTTTTATGAGTTTCATATATATTTTGTATATTTACCTCATGTCATATATATATAATGCACAAATATTTTCTCCCATTCCATAGGTTGCCTTTTCTATTTGTTTTTGTGGTTTGTACTTTTTGTGTCATATCCAGGAAATCATTGCCCAGTCAGGCATCTAGAGCTTTTCTCCTTTGTTTTCTTCTAAGAGTTGTATTATTTCAGGTTTCACATTTAAGTTTTTAAGTTATTTGACCTGATTTTTGCATACAGTGTAAAATAAGATTCCAATTTCATTCTTTTGCATGTGTGAAAAATTGGCATGGGTTGAACCACTTTCAAACAGACTTGGGCAGCCATTCCAGAGGAACTGCATCATACGTCTTACTCCTTGAACTTTTGGAATGTTTGAACTGGCCAAAACAACCTTTGGACACAGCCACAGCTGTATTGTGTTCTCAACAACCGTGAAAGTAACAGAAAAATCAGACCTCCTGATTATGAGGAACAGTAATTAAAGTTATTCTTTAGAATCAGTAAACAGTCTTGTATATCTAAAGAATAAGAGCTTATTAGCATTCATAAAAATTCATTTCTTCTATTTATGTAATTATTTTCCTTCTTCCTTTCTATTATAAACACTCCTTTCCTTTATCCCATAACATAACACTGGATTTCTGCCTGAAACACTTGTTGTCTCTCACACTTTTGATTTTTAAGGTTAACATGTGTATGTTCAATTTCCCCAACATCATTTATTGAACAGACTACTTTTCCCATTGTAAATTCTTGCCACTATTGTTGAAGATTTGTTGACTGTTTATGGAGGGATTATATCTGTTTCATTGATCTCTATCTCCTTTTTTATGCCAGTGCCACACTATTTTGATTACTATAGTTCTGTAATATGTTTTGAAATGAGGCCATGTGACACCTCCAGCTTTGTCTTTCTTGTTCAAAATTCCTCTGACTATATGCAGTCTTCTGTGGTTCAAAATGAATTTTAAGATTTTTTTTTCTATTTTTTCAAGAAATATCATTGAAATTTTGATAGAGATTGTGTAGAGCCTATAGATCACTTTGGGAAGTATGAACATTTTAACAATGTTAATGCTTGCAATACAACACAGTATGTTTTTCTATTTACTTGCATCTTTTAACATTTCTTTCATCAATGTTTTATAGTTCACTGTGTAGATCTTTAACTCCTTGGTTGAGTTTATTCCTAAGTATTTTATTATTTTTGATGCCATCTTAGTATTCTTTCAGATAGGTTGTTAAGAGTTTAGGATCACAACCGACTTTTGTATATTGATTTTGTATCCTGCATTTTCACTGAATTTATTTATTAGTTCTAACAATGTGTGTGCATGTGTGTGTGTGTTGGGAGTCTTTAGGGTTTTCTATATATAAGATCATAACATCTGTAAACTGAGATAGTTTTATTTTTTCCTTTCAAATAGGGATGCCTTTTATTTCTCCTCTGC